GGGCGCTGCTGTTGGCGGCTTGAAGGCGCTCTTCGAGGACGGGCTGGGAGCGAGCTCCGTTCTCAGGCATTGCTCAGTGGAAGCTCGGGCACTTGGGGAAAAGGGCCAGCAGCGCAGACATGCGGGCTGGCTGGCAGGCTGCAGTTCCGGATGGAGGGTGCAAGAGGTGCTGTCTTGGGAGACAACCGGCGACTGAGGTGAAGCTTTTTTTGACTCTTGACAGCAGAGGACGCGTGGGCGCTTCAGGGGGTGCAGGCAAGGCGGGGGCCGCAAATGGCCACCGGGCCGCATGTTTGAGACCCCTGCTCTACAGCTTCCATAAGCAACAGGCAGCGTGGCCAAGAATTATCAGAGCTGTAGTGCAAAAAGTGACACACACCGGGGAAGAACCTGTAGAAAAGTGGTATGGCCTTGTAAACTCTGTTGAGTAAAGGCAGTTTCTCTTAGCTTTCCAAATTGGTTCTGGTTAATGCCACTTCACACATTAAATTATACTTGGAATAGCTGTACTAACTTTGCACTGATATTTCCTATCATAAACATTTAAAGAGTATACCTGTCATATGCACCACAGAACTCAATAGCCCATCTTCTTAGTGAACTTTCACATTACACACACTGGGGAAGAACCTGTAGAAAAGTGGTATGGCCTTGTAAACTCTGTTGAGTAAAGGCAGTTTCTCTTAGCTTTCCAAATTGGTTCTGGTTAATGCCACTTCACACATTAAATTATACTTGGAATAGCTGTACTAACTTTCATATTTCCTATAATAAACATTTAAAGAGCTGGCACAGTATACCTCTCATAGCCCTCTCAGAACTCAATAGCCCATCTTCTTAGTGAATCTGTCTTTCACATTTGGAAAATATGTCTTTGTAATGTCCATCTAGCTGTGGCAGTCACAATTCCCATGCAGAATAGGATGTGGACCCTGGTAGCCGATTAAATATTATGTTTATTAATTTATGTTCCTTCTTTCTTCGAGAGAACTCATTGCTAACTTTCATATTTCCTATAATAAACATTTAAAGAGCTGGCACAGTATACCTCTCATAGCCCTCTCAGAACTCAATAGCCCATCTTCTTAGTGAATCTGTCTTTCACATTTGGAAAATATGTCTTTGTAATGTCCATCTAGCTGTGGCAGTCGCAATTCCCACGCAGAGTAGGATGTGGACCTTGGTAGCCGATTAAATATTATGTTTATTAGTTTGTTTATGTTCCTTCTTTCTTCGGGAGAACTCATTATGAAAATGTGGCTGCCACCAAAACCTGCAGCTGCACATTTAGTTTTCTCCTCTCCTTCTATAAATGTGTACAGTGGACCCTTGACTTACAGACTGCTTGACTTACAGACTTTTTGACTTGAGAACCGCCTTCCAATACGGATTAAGTTCTCAAGTCAAGACCCCACTGTACTACAGCTTTGCTTTGTCATGAGCTGCAATTTAAAGAACATCCGTTGAGTTCTCCAAGGCTGTTTTGATGAGATAGCTCACAGGGATGAAAGTTCTGGTCTTGTGAGGTCCCTTACCTTCAAATGAGAGTGTGAGAGGGAGTCTCCTAGTGCTGTCCTGTATGCTCGCACAGATTGACTATGCACAAATTTAATATTTCCCTTCAAGTATCAGTACACAAGCTTACAAACAGAGCAAGTCCAGGACAGATAGTCTGATGGTTCAAAAGAGACAAACAGGCTCTTTGATACTTGTAATTCTTAGAAGTCCACACACCAGAGCAACAACCATGTTCATTTTGTGTATTGTGCATGCTTGTGCTAAAGTTTTCTTTCATTTGCACAAAACTTGTTCTCATTCCTGTTCTTGTCTCTTTTTGAGAACACTACAAAATGCCTCACTCTCTTGAGGAACAAAGAGAATAACTTTGTATTTCCTTGTTCTTACCTACAAGGAACAGACAAACTGTGATTTTATATTCCTAGTCTGGATCGTCAGAATGTTTTATAAAGCATCGACACACCAGCAAAAGCCAGAAATAGATGATGTTGTGATATAAGGACTTACCGGTATATGTAGGCTTATATTGAAACACTACTGAGTGAATGTGCTGCAGAAGTAGTGTCTGCTTTTAGCATCAGGCACATTGTAATCATCATCTTCGAACTGCAGAGCTGTAAGGGACCCTGTGGATCATTTGAATCCAGCCCCTCAAGGAGCCACAGTGGGACATTGAACCCCCCAACCTCTGGCTCCACAGCCAGATGCCTAAAACATTGAGCTATCATGCTGTTGTGACTACTTTGGCCTTTATTTGCTTTCTGAAACAGTCTGCACATTCAGGATGAAGATTCCTCGCTCATACTCCCCCCTGCCTGTTTTGTTTTCCCGTGTTCTTCTTTGAACTTGGCTCCCAGCATGGGGGGGGGGAGTGCACTGGATATGCCTTTCTCTCCCTCTCCATCTTTTAATGATGGGCCTCACCCCAAATCATAAAAAAGTTATATAAATGATTGCCGGGGCGGGGTGGGGGAGAACAACAATTTTTTTGCGCTACTAAAGCTGAGAAGTGATGCATATGAACAAAATGTCCGTACCAGTTCCAGCATGTTAATTGATTTTCTGATCCTGTGGCCACACCAGCGTGTTTTTTTTTGCTGGGGGGGGCAGGTAAAATCAGAGCAGATTTCCACTTTGCTGCTTCATGCAGGGGTCCCTAGATGTTCTTGGACTACAACTGCCAGAAATCCTGGCTCGCATATCTAGTGGTGAAGGATTCTGGGAGTTTTGTCCAAGAACATCTGGAGACCCAAGTTTGGAAACCACTGATCTAAAGGTGTCCAAGACGGCATTACCTTTCCCCATTACCCTGTTGTGTAATTATGAACTTTGATATATATATATTTGTGCATGATGACTTTGTTTTTAGTTATGGCTCAAAAGGGAGTCCAAAATACAATTAGATATATGGACCCATTATCAACAAATTTTAGCAGTTGTCATCTCTGCAAGGCCCCCATCTGTTGCAAAATAAATGGGTCTTCATTTGCCCATCCACGATGAAATCACCCTAAAATGATATACTTACGGGTTGCAGAGATATATTTTTTTCTTGCTATACGGATGCATGACCTATAGCAAGGGGATTTGCAGTCTCATAGTCATGCAGGATTTCATTCCAACACTTTGAATCATGAACCTTACATGGTGTTTTGCAGATTAGCTTATCAACGGAATGATGATGATGAGGAAGAAGCTGCCAGAGAACGCCGCAGGCGAGCCAGGCAGGAAAGACTGCGGCACAAAGAAGATGATGACATAGATAAGCCTGAAGTCAATGCAGAAAACAAGTAAGATTTACCTTACAAACATGACTTAATTGATTTTGGATGTGCTATCTTTCAATTGCTTGAATGTTTCATAAGGTACACTTTTTCCATCAATAATGCTGGGTTTAGGGGCCACAGACTCCTGTGTATTTCAAAATCCATATATATCGAAAATGTAACCACAAAGCATAGTCAGTTGATTCTCTCTCTCTCTCTCTCTCTCTCCCTCTCTCTCTCACACACACACACACACACACACACACGCGCACGCACGCACACACATCTCTGTTTCGGTTCTCTTCCATAGCATTGACAATCTTTTCTATACAGTACCATGTATAATGAGCCTGAAAGGTCCTTATTGAATTAGAGTTGTTGTCTCTGGGGTCAAGTGAGTTTGCCTTTGGTGTTGAACTTATGGGGTTCTGGGCGGTCATGGTATTTGTTGAATATTTATTTACTCAGTATTGAATGATAGATTGGGGAAAAATCCGTGTGTAACCAAAACCGCGTTGCTCGAACCTGTACAATTCAAGGGAGAAATATACTTTGTCATAGCAGGAATGTTGAATACCTGACTGTATTTGTCTTTTAACATAGTTTATTCTACCAATTGGTATGATTTTCCAGCAGTAGCTTTACAGGGTCAAGGTCCTTGTTGTGAGATTGTGCTAGAAGTTTGTTTTCAGATCTCTCCTAAAATAGATGGACAAATAAATTGATCTATTGTAGCGGCTTCCTATTCCCCCTTTTCTTTCTTTCTTAGGGTAGCCTATTGGATGCTAGAACTATTGTATTTTTCCATGTATAAGGTTATGCTTTTGTCTAAAATTTTTAGACTAAAAATTGAGGGTCGTCTTATACATAGGCCTAAGCTGAGGAGAGGGAAAAACAAGTGGAGGGGAAAGCAGGGATCAAAGTGATCCTGCAGGGCTTTGATCCCTGTTTTCCCCTCCACTTGCTAAGCCTTAGCAAAAGGAAAATCAGGGTCAAAGCACTGCAGGATGGCTTTGATCCTTGCTTTCCCCTCTGCTTACTAAGTCCCATGGGGCTAAAAGCAAATCCAATGGCTGTATAAGGGGGAAAGGGATCAAAACGATCATGCAGTTGTGGGATAGCTTTGATCCCTTTCCCCCTACACTTGCTAAGCCCCACTTAGATTTCTTAATTTTGGGTTAGAAAAGGGGGGGGTATCTTACACATGAGGGCATTTTATACACGAAAAAATACGGTATTTGATATTTTCACATAGCCTGTTGTTGATAGTGGCATAGACTCAGTCAATATCTGTGTCTTACACAGCATTGGAGAAGAAGAGACTAAGAGTACTACAACAACAGTTACCACAGTTAGGACCACTCAAGGCGACGGAGATGACGATGCCTTGTTCTTGGAGAGGATGGCCAGGAGAGAAGAAAGGCGCCAGAAACGTCTTCAAGAAGCCCTGGAGCGCCAAAAAGAATTTGACCCGACAATTACCAATGAGAGTTTGTCGTTTACCAGCAGCAAAGTGGTGAATAATATTGAAGAAAATGAGACCCCGGAAAAGGAGGAGAAGATGGAAACCCACAGAAGACACTATGAGGTGGAGGAAACTGAAACCATCACCAAATCATACCAGAGGAATAACTTGAGGCAAGATGAGGAAGATGAGAAGAAAGATGAAGACGACAAAGAGGAGATGCAAGACAGCCAGCCAAAGAAGAGAACTGTAGAGGATAACCAGGTAGAGGTAATATTAGAAAAGAAAACCGTAGACAATGAGGAGGAAGCAGTAGTATCAGAAGTAAAAGATCTTGAGGTGAATGCAGATGAGCAAAAAGTAGAGAACGATACAAGTGCCCTGGAGGCCATAAGCATCACAGTAGCCTTAGATCAAAAAGAAAATGAGGATGATCAGGGTGAAGCAGAAAAGAACAAAAGAGAAGAGCAGGAGAGACTAGAGAGAGAGGAAGAGGAGAGAGCTAAAGCAGAGGAGGAGAGGGAGAGGCTTGAAGCCGAGCAGAGGGCCGCTGAGGAAAAAGAGAGGCTAGAAGCAGAAGAAAGGGAACGAATTAAAGCAGAAGAAGAACGGAAAGCTGAAGAAGAGAGAAAAAGAATTGAGGCAGAGCAAAAGAGGGCAGAAGAGGAGAAGGAGAGGCTTGAAGCAGAGAAAAAGGCAGCTGAGGAAAAAGCCAGGCTAGAAGCAGAAGAAAGGGAACGGATTAAAGCTGAAGAAGAACGGAGAGCTGAGGAGGAAAGAAAGAGAATAGAGGCAGAGGAGAAGAAAGCTGCTGAGGAGAAAGAGAGGCGGGAGGCCAAGGAGAGGGAAAGGATTAAGGCAGCTGAGGAAAGGGAAAGGGCAAAGGAGAAGAGGGAGGCTGAAGAACGGGAGAGGGCTAAGAAAGCAGCTGAAGAAAAAGCTAAACTGGAAGAGGAAAGGTTAAAGGCAAAGCAAAAGCTGGATGAGAAAAAGGTAGATCAGTTGAAAGGGAAAAAAGGAGAAGAGAAGAAAATAGAAGACAAGCAGGTAAAAGAGAAGAAAGTACAAGAAGAAAAATCCCCAGCAGCTTCCCTAAGAAAACAGGTACAGTAAACACAGTGCATCCAACCAGCTTATGTCTGTGTTTTGTAGCAAATGTAATGCATTTTACAAAACAAAACTGGATGGTACTTTGCTCACCTTTGCCTATTGTCTACTAACTCCTGCTAAAGCTGTATTCCTCTTTTAGCTTTAGCTTCCTCTTTCTTTTAACCTGATCAATGAGTGACACATAGTCAAGCTGCATCCTTCTTGGTTCTCCCCAAGGAAATTTGTGCATGTTCTGAGTTCCTCACCATCTCTTTGCATTCTCTTTCTGTGGCTGTGAATTGACCAGGGCCATAGCTGAGCACATATGCAAGGGACCAAGGCACAGCATGGGCCGCAAACAAACACCAAGCAAACATATATGGAGTGACAGCTCAATGAGCATCCATAAATGTTAGCCAGCGATAGAGGAGACGATGGACACACCACAGTGTGGAAGCAAAAGCACAGATGTGCAGCAGGAATGTGGAAGTCACTCTGCTACCCAGAGGGAGTTGTGCGCACAGCAGCCGCGGCACGGAACAAGGGGGTATGTGAGCACAGCTTTGTTGAAACACCCACAGCAGATGTGTTACAGGGATTGCCGTAGAATTGATGTTTTCATCTTACAAACATATTACAAAAGGGGGAAGAGAAAGAGGTTAAAGTGGAAGCTAAAAAGGACAAGCTACAAGATGAGAAACTTCGGCCTGGCTTCCGGAAAGAGGAGGTAACTATTATTTGGGAATGATGGGGTACACAAACCTTAATGCTCTCAGACATCCATAACGCTCTCTGAGGAGGAGTGTGACAAAGAGCACATAATGCAACTTCAGGGATAGCAGCAACCCAACTCAAGATCCCCTCTTTCTGCCAGGAATGATGGAGCAAGACAGGAATAGGGCTGAACATTTCTGAAACGGATTGCCCAGAGAAACAGGTTATTCCGTTTAGTCCTACATTAGGCTACAAATTGTTCCCTTCACCCAAATCTGACTGTATGGTGAAACAATGGTTGAAGTCCAGTCAAGCAAGTCACAGCTAGAATGGGCCCACTGAATCAGTGGAAATTATAGAGTTGCTGACTTACCAAATTCCCACTGATTTAGTGGGCCTACTCTAGCTATGACGTACTGATGGATTTCAGCCAATAAGATTTTACTTTTAACTAAATAGCCAGTTTTCACTCAAGTACTGCTCTACTTTCATGACGCAGCATCGGCCAGAAGAATTGGTCCTGATTTCATTCTTCAATGTTTCTTCATTTATTTTAATTTTTAACCCATAAATAATAATAAAAAAAATCAAAACATTGAAAAAAAAATAACATGAGGTTAAGAAAGTGTTTCATATTGGGCATCTAAGCAGAGTCCAATTTTCTTTCCTTAATTTCTCCCTCCCTTTTATCAAAACTTTTCTTCCTTGAACTGGCAATTTCTTCTGCTGGAAAGCAAGACATCTTGAACCCCTTAATCTGAACCTAACTAATAAGTTTCTGTTTCATGACATAAGGTGTGTAGACTCCACACACTTTCTCCTTTCTTATCTGAAAGTTTATTTTTACCCCCAAATAAGATGCATTGCATTTCTACTTTAAACACAGGAGCTGGTACCATGGTGTTCTGCTTTATGGTAAGTAAGGACTATTGGGCCTTAAAACATCATTGCCAAACTCAGGGCCCAGTTAGCATGGACTGCAGCACCAAGAATGCTCGGTCCAGCATGGCTGGCTGGGGATTTCTATGAGGCATCGTCCAAAAAGATGACTTTTTCCAGGCGTGACTCTGGAGTGGATGTATAGGATTTTTGGTCTCCTAAAAGCCTTAGGAAAAGGCTATGCTCTTCTTGGTTCCTGTTCTGAAGTTAGAAAGGAAGCATTGCTTGTTCACTGTTGGCAATCAAAGGATGATTTTGGCTGCCATGGTCAGGTTTTTTCTTTTTTTTAGAAAACAGCAACATTTAAAAAAGTGAAGCTTCAGTTTGTACAGTGCTGGCCCTTGGTGTTCTCTCCTCAATTCAGTTGACATCTCTGAGTTGGTTTTGGTTCTCCAGACTACCTTAAGATTCTGGGTGTGCAGAGTTGGCCTGCAAAATTTGCACTAAAGCAAGCTTTCTCATGACATGATATTTGTGGTATTTCCTGCTTCCACTTTGGCTAGACATAGCGCGTGAACAGCAAGGGCTCTTTTTTCGATTCTTTTTTAAATTTTGTTGAGACCTGCCCTTTTCTCACCCTTTAAAATGCATTTATATTTATCCAAAGATAAGCTCTCAGTCTAAAATATCTTCGTCTTAAAATGCTCACAACCATCTTGGGAGTTACTTATATTTAAATCTAGAAGCAAGAGATTCGAAACGCCCGGAGCAACTGTTGGAAGACTGGGATTAAAGTCCTATTTGTTAAGTATTCCTTTAAGTAAGCTTGCCTGCTGGCTGATTAAGAAATTGTTGACTGGTTAAACATGTGTGTTTTAATTGATAATGCATGTATTAATCATGAACATTTAAAAGAATCTGCAGATTATGGATAGTTTGTGTGAGGAACATGTAGATAGCTTGTATGATAGAAGTGTGAGATTATAACTAACATTTAAACATTCATTATTAGAATTGGGGTAGAATTCTCCCCCTTGCTCCACTGTAACTTTCAGTGGTAACAGGACAATTTTGCAATGGATTCATTGCTTTCTGGAAAGTGTGGGGCATGCTGTAGAAATAGTTAGATTTCCAAGAAGAAAGAGGTTTTTAAAATCTTCTTTTTCTTTCTATTCTTTTTGTGCATCAAGATTTGTAGTGAAGCAAAACATCACCTTAAGAACCCTTCATCTTGCCTGACCAAGGGTTTCTGTGGCTGGTGGCTAGAGCAAAAGAGGGCCCCTGAACCCAAAATGGCAGCATAATGTACCCCTCTCCTTCATGCCACACAATCTGCTACTGATTATGGAGCATCTAATAAAGGGATTTGACACAGCCCCCAGAAAGGGATTGGGAAGGACAGGGAGAATATTTGGACCTCCAGACACTGACCATTCCATGAAGTTTGCATTTAAAAGAAAACAATTGCACAGTAAAGATTCATGAGACTGTGTCTAACATATTGCTTAATATGAGCGCTTGACATCTTAAATCTGAGGTCCAAAAGGATTGGTCATGCAGTTTAGTTACATATTCTTCATGCTCTGTTATGCCCTTCTGCTGGAAAATGGATATGTTTCACCTTCTGCCAATCAGTAGGCCACTTGCAAATAAGCATTTGTTACATCCAGAATAAAGGGGAAGGAAAATGATGCAAGCTTTCTGTTTCAAAGGGCCCCCTCACCACTCCTGTCTGAAATCAGAAGGAAGGGTGAGGAGGGATGGGGGGGAACAGACAGCAAAGGATTTTAGAGGTTTTTAGAGAACACAAGAAGCATGAAAATAACTCAGCAGTATTAATTTGCATTATAATTTGTGTCTTTTATGTTAGATGGATATTGGCCAGAATTCTATCGGTGATTTATACAGTACTTCCATAAGGGAAATTGCATGATCATTGTGGCAAATTGCCATTCATTAATGAGTTGCTGGTTATGTTCTTGGACATGAGCCTGATTGCATATCCAAGAGGTTGCCCAAGAATGCAACAAGCACTTTGTTAATTAATAACAATTTGCCACTGCAATACATGCAGTTTCCCTTGCTGACTATAATTTGCAGATAAGATTCTGGCCCAAATCTGTTGCTTAGTTACACTGGTGTAACACAGATGATGTCACCATTGTGTTCTCTGTGAATCCCACATTGGATGATTTCTCAGTGGGAGACAATTTGCCTTCATAGGTTAGGCCATCTACGTAGCTAAACAAGAGGATTTTGGCCAGATTTTTGGCTGTGGAATTCTGAGGGTTCTAGTCAAAAAAGTAGCTTTTTCCATTGTTATCTAAAATCCAGTTTTTAAGGCGAGTTCGATGTAGTGTTTGTTCAGTAAAATTACTGAAGCAATGTCAGCACCTGTATTTCTGGGCCTAGTTACTTTTCTCTTAGTATTTTGGTTTCATCTTATTTAGGGTTGGTTGCTTTAAATATGAACATCCAAACCTGGCTCTGATCAAAGCGGTTAGAGAGGTAGACCACTGGCTTTTTGCCGTAATGAATATATTTAAAACAGTGGTGGTGACACCATTGCTGTGACCTATCTTCTTACGAGTTGAAGGGCTATGTGGTACAGTATGGCTCCATTTTGTTTTTCTGCCCTTAGATTAGGAAGAACCAATAGTAAGAGATCCTGTTTGATGAACTGCAACATTTTGTTGCAGCATGGGCGCAGCCCGAACACCAGAGAAACTTTGACTCTAGTGCTAAAAAACAATGCAAGATATTGGGTTGAAGGTAGTTTTAGTACTTTTACAGCAGACCATTGAATTGTTAAACCCCAGTTAGTCTACTGCAATCCAGACTAAATTCGGTTTTTGTGTAGTGAATTGGTTCATTTGGGGAAGAGCCCTTGCATTTTTGTTGACTGCCATTTCAGGTTTGCTTTGGCTCCTGATTTAACTTATATTATATTCTGCAGACCAAAAGAAAAATTTTTGAATGCTGTACTCTGCACAGTTCCAGTTAGCATCCAGGCATGACTTAGCTTGCCGGAGGGCCAGCATGTCAGGATCAGATGTCAATGTTGCTAATCCAGAATTTTTATGGGTGGGTGTGGGGACTGGAAACAAAGAAACAAATGTGCAGAAACGTTGCAAATGAGCCGAAAAATCAAAAGGTCAAAGTTTTAAAGGCAAGAGAATTCCCACCAGCCACCACCAGCTTGCCTTTGAGACTGAGAACCAACCTTAAGGAATAGTAGTTGAATAACCTCGCAAAGTTTTGAGTCAGTAAGAGTGCAGCAATTTATGGGCTTTTTTGTTTTAAGTTACTTTCAGTAACACCACTTAATATGTGTCCCTGTACAATTAATGCCCATAGCTGGAGGTGGGCATGAACCGGTTCGTCTCGGTTTGCCCTCAGTTCATAAAGGCACAGCCCCTCCCCCACCTCCTCTGGCTAAATTAGCCACTCACCAGCCCAGCGTCCTTTCTTCCTGCACTGCCTTGACTGATCTTCCAGTTGCAGCAGCAGCAGCTCAGGCTTCTATGCCCCGCCCTCTTGGCTGATCTCCCAATCAGAGAAAAGGGCGGGGCAGAGAAGTCTGTGCTCTTGCTCATGACTGGGAGATTAGCCGAGGAGGTGGAAAAAGCAAGCAAGCTGGACTTGGTGAGTGGCTGATCGGCTGAGGAGGTGGGGGAGAGGAGCAGCAGCACCTTAACAAACTGTGATGAACTGGGACAAACCAGATTGTGCCCACCTCTACCCATAACTGGATTGCAATGCAGCCAGAAGATATCTGTGGTTTACCTTGACAGAAGCTGAAAGACTTGTGGGCCAGTTTCTGACATCAAGTATGGTGGCCATTCCATGAATCTAGAGTCACAAATGGCACAAGCGGTGGGAAGTTCTGGCTAGGGTTAAAACAAAGATTGATGGCCTGTCCTTAGAAGCAGACACTGGTTAATCAGAGGTATTAAAGCCGTATTCAGCTGCTGCCACGGTTGACATTCACCCTAAATTAAGCAATCTTCAGGAGAGAAAGAGAAAAAAAATTTAGAAAGAACACAGAAAGCATACCCTATTTCCCTGAAAATAAGACCTAACCTGAAAATAAGCCCCAGCTAAGTGAAAGCACACGCTCCACCCTTGTGTAAGACCTAACCTGAAAATAAGCCCCAGCTACTGTAAGTGAAAGCACGCACTCCACTCTTGTGCAGCAACCAGAAGAAGATGACATGACTGCATATGAATAAACATAGATTGTACACGAAAAAAATAAAGCATCCCCTGAAAATAAGCCCTAATGCATTTTTGGAGCAAAAATTAATATAAGATCCTCTCTTATTTTCAGGGAAACAGGGTAGAAACTAAACTATTAAAGGATACAACTGTTTACTGTTGCTAAGGCAATGATTGATGAAGGTGCCACTAAAATCACAAACTCAGATCGCTCCGATAAAAATATTATTTGCTTTAAACTGACAGAGGTATGAGTAGGCGTGGCTAAAAGCAATTGCTAAATTGCAGATGGACATGGAAAAAAGAAGGGCATGACAGGGTAAGTATTAAAGTGAATGGAATAGAGACAAAAATGGAAAAATAAAGAGAGCATCCAATAGTCCTATAAACAGCAACAACAAAAGTATGTAGATTAGCAGTGAGGTGAAATGGGTTCAGATTGAATTGCAATGATAAAGCTAATATACTTTGGAACCTTGCTTCATACTCTGGATTTGTGGCAGAATATTCTGATATTTTGTTTGTTTGTAAAGTGTAAGGGGCTGGCTGTTGTGAAGCTTGTGTCTGGCAACTCATACTAAGCAGAAAAGGGAAAACTCGGTGTTTGTTGTCATGAGAAATCCATTTTGGTTATTATAGGAAGAAAGATATAGGGGCAGTTAGTCGGTTTTCATGCTTTCAAAGTTGTCTCTTTAAAAATTGTAACAAAGGAGAAAGAGAGAAGGAAGCCTAAGAGTAGCAATTTAAACAGATCTAGAAAAGACAGTGGTGGGGAATATACTTAGGCTGTGTGTCTACAATTTAAACAGATCTAGAAAAGACAGTGGTAGGGAATATACTAGGCTGTGTGTCTACCTATTCCTATTCCCCATTTTGGTTTTTTTCTGGTCTGTAAGTCAATTCTCAGGCTGCAAGTCAAACCTAAATTTTGCGGCCAGAGAAGTCTGTAACTCAAAAAGTCTGTAAGTCAAGCCGTCTGTAAGTCAAGGGTCCACTGTATTCCTATCCGATCCCCAGTCAAATTACTGGCTGCATTCTTATTCCAGTACTGGAAAGATTAGCTGCCACTGCAGTGCACTTGAGAACAATATAAATGAGTACTACTATCTCTTGTGTGTTCATGGCAGATCTTGCAAATCTCAGTGCAGTTGCGTGGAACAGAATATAAGCACAAAGCTTAAGTGTCTCTTCAGCTGCTGCTGCTGCTGGTGGTCTGTAAAGTAGCTGAAGACGGTGGTTCTCTCCCCCTTATCAGCAGGAAAAGGCTGTATCACATTTCTGTTTTGGTCTTATTTGGACATTGTTCTTTTTTACAATATTTCTCTAGCAGATAAAAGACAGTAAGGTCAACAAGGACAGAGCCCCCAAGGAAGAGGCTAGACCTGCTTGGGATCGTAAGAAGGGAATTCCTGACTCAAAGCCACAGAATGGAGAGCGCTTTCCAGAACTCCCCGCTCACAAACTTAAGCATACGGAGAATGCTTTTAGGTAAGGTATACACATGGATGCGAGGGTGTTTATCCTTGGGCATGATGTTGCCTTTTATGGGTCTTGGTTGCAACAGGACAGAGTCTGCCATAGTAAGGAGTGAGAGTGAGTTGTTACATGGAAGGCTCAAAGCATTTTCCCCCTTCATTTGGATTGCAGTGTTAGTATAAAGTCTATGGTGGCTAGAATAGGCATTGTACAATTTGGAAGTATTGCTTTTTTTTTTTAACTACAGCTCTCAGAATCCCCCAGTAAGGATGACCAAGCTGTACTGATTAGGAGATTCTGAGAACAGCAATCTGCAAAAGAAACTTTTCTGAGCTCTGATCTATTTGCATTACAAATGCTTGCACAACCCTATGTTCATGCATCTGGATCATAAACAGCAGCAACAGATGTGTGCAAATGCTCCATTCAATGCTCAGAAGCTGATTCTTGCAAACGGCCCCACTTTGATCTTGGAGAGCTTAAGCCGGCTCACTTCACACTGTGATATGCTGGAGCCAACTGTTGAACCCTGCGAGATTGGTGTGGGCTTCCAACTCTTGCACGACAAGTGCAGCATTTATTAATTAGAAAACAACGGTTTAAATGTTGGATTTGTTATAAACAAGGTATAAATGCAATGACTAGTACCCCAGGTTCAATGCAGACTGATTCACAAGATCGGAAAGTTTGCAAAAAAACCTACACAGTAAAATGATGACCCATTTTCCTTGTCCCCAGTTGTACAAAAAAGGTTGCTTGTTTGCTTTTATTTTTAGTGAGATACAGTTTCGTAACTGTACCACTATCTCATTGAGTTGATTAGGGGTCAGGAGTTTGATTTCCCCACTGTGCCTTCTGGGAGAAAAGCTGGCCTGTGTAGCAAACTGCACCCCTAGAAGAAGGGAACAGTAAACTACCGTTCTTCTTGAGAACTCTATATGTAGGAAACTCTGACAAAGGTAGTTGTAAATTGGAATTAACTTGATTAACATAATCATTATTTATTATCACTTCACATTGCAAGATTGACGTTTGTGTAACATCTAAGTGATACAGTGGCAACCCCAAATCTCTCTTACTTTTCCCCCAAATTCATTCCATATCCCTTGTGTGTATCTCAAAGGCACTGTCATCTTAATGTAGCTCTATGAAATCAACACATTTATCCAGTGGTTCGATTAGCCAAGCTGTTTGGTTTTAATCACCTCCTCATTCCCCCTGTGGCTGATGGAGTAGATGAGATGATACTGTGAATCCTGTTCACAGGCGTACATTTGTCTAGGGCTGGGGTTGTAAAGGTAAGCCCAGGGCTCTATGCATCCGCAAACCTAGACCATGTATTGTTGAGCTACAGTGGTGCCTCGCATAACGAGCGCACCGTTTAATGAAGAATTCGCATAGCGATCTATTTTTTTAGATCGCTAATGCGATCGCATTGCGCTGTTTTAATTGGTAAAACATTGCATTGCGATGATCGGTAAGCGTTTCACTTACCGATCTTCGCATTGCGATGTTTTTTTAAACAGCTGATCGGCGGTTCCGAAATGGCCGCCGGGTGCCCAAAATGGCCGCCGCAAGTGTTTTCGCTTACCGAGGGGGCGAAAATGGTGGCGCTATGGAGGAACTTCGCTGAACGGTGAGTTTGGGAGCCATAGTGAGTTTGGGAGCTATGGCTTTTTCCATTCCGTTTAGCGATGTTTCTGCATAGCGACGATTAATCCGGAACGGATTAACTTCGCTATGCGGGGCACCACTGTATAGTGTAAATATGTTGTTACAATTATTCGCTGTTATGCTTACTATATTGCCTTGTGATTAATCGCTGTAACAGTTTACAGTCAATCTGAAAGGTAGATCAAGATTTTTTGAGTATAGACTCATTGAAATCCACTATTTGACAGGGGCACCACAACCTGGAAGCAACTTGATGGCACATAACAGCACCAAATCGAAATCCATAGGCCTAAAATTAGTCATAATTAAAGCACACTGATTTCAGTAAATTTATTCTAGATGTAGCCAAGCCTAATTCTGACTAAAGAAATGTGATTTTAAATAATTGTGCAGTATACCAAAGGCAACAGAATACAATATTCAGAAATAAAAGAAATAAAATAGTTTATATTTAAAAAAAACCTGGCAAAAGTTTTATCACTACAAGGTACTCAGATAAGATTCAGGTGGTTTCCAGGAACTTTTTAAAGAAGTGCATTCCAAAATTAAGGTGCCACCCCTAAAAAAAGAAAGTGTTTGGAAAAATGCCATAATGAGATTTACTGATGCTAAAGTGAGAATCAGTCTACACTGTGCACAGAGTGAGGTGAAATCTAGATTCTGCCACTCAGGCTGCTTTTTAGTTATTTGACTTTGCTGTATTTATCTTCCCTCATTTCCTCCGCTAAGGTCAGGTCAGCGTTCATGACTCCTGTCCTTCCTCTTTTATCCTCACAACAACTCCTTGAGAGTGGGATAGAGTGGTCACCCAGCCAGCCTCAGAATCCAACCGTTAATGACTGTTCTGCCCCACAGGCTGTGGGATTATGGCACCAGGCTGAGGAAGGCTGCTTTGCGTCCTCCATACCTCAGTTCTCAGGATGGCCCTTCTGCTTTACCACCTTGAGATCTTAGCTGTTTTTGGGACTACAACTTCCAGAAATCCTGGCCAGCATAGCTAGCGGTGAAGACTTCTGGGAATTTTAGTCCAAAAACATACAGAGACCCAAGGTTGGGAAGCAATGGGCTAAACCAACAAAAAAATTCTTTTCATTGTAATCTGTATCTTTCTTTCTCAGCCGCCCAGGCTTCAAAACTACCCCAGAATCTGAAGAAGCCAAGTCTCACGTAGAGGCAGGGAAACGGGTAGAGGAGCTGCGCCGTCGTCGAGGAGAAAATGAAAGCGAAGAATTTGAGAAGATGAAGCAGAAGCAACAGGAGGCAGCTGTGGAACTGGAGGAGCTGAAGAAGAAGCGGGAGGAGCGCCGGAAGATTCTGGAAGAAGAAGAGCAGAGGAGGAAGAAAGAAGAGGCAGAAAGAAAAGCTCGGGAGGAGGTAACAGATTGCCAAAACCGCCATTTGGTGTATCCAGGACATAAAGTAGGATAGCAAGCTTATTGACAGAGCTTAGAAATTTTACTTTATGGACTACAAGTCCCAGAATCCCTAGGCAGGAGTGCTTTAGAGGCAGTTATGCCTCAACACCAGTGATGCCCCAAATCCTGTTGCATTTTCTGTGCATTTCTGCAGATCAAGAAGTCGGTCTAAGAATTTGCTGTTGTGCACAAAGCTGGCATGGAGCATTCAATGCCTTTGCCATTTTTTTTTAACTTGTGGCAGTTCACTGCTTGCATTACACCAGCTGAACTAATAGGATTGTAGCTGATGTGCTTTTGCTTTTCAGGGAAGGGGAATCTCTGTATTGTCTTCCGTGTGAATTTTGGTAGTGACTTGCAGAGTCCCACTACACCTTAGGGCTAAGTTTCATTGTACTGTGGCTTGAAACTACTATATATTGGCTGTTGCAGGCTCAGGCTTTCCTGCCGGCTCACTCCTGCCTGCCTTTTGATCAGAGGCAGAGCGGCCCTGTGTACGTATGTTCGTAAGAATATCTGTGGCTGCCCTTAGCTTTGCTCACCATTGGCTGTTATGCTTTCTCCCCCTTCAGCTGTGATTGGCATGAGCTGCCACTGTTTGTATGCATTTTATTGCCCCTCTCCCTAATTCTTTAACACTTCTAGAGAATGCAAACACTTGTATATTTTTTGTGCATTTATAAAAGATTCTTCAAAAGCAGGCTCGTTTTTTTAAAATTGGGCTTCCTGAAAATTAATACAGCTGCTGCTGCTTGTTGTTTCCAGCCCTGAACGTTGATGACAAGTGGCTCAAATCATTTCATGTTCTGGCTTTTGGTAGGAAGAGAAGAGGCGGTTGAAGGAAGAAATTGAGAGGAGAAGGGCAGAAGCTGCTGAGAAACGCCAGAAGATGCCAGAGGAAGCCCAAACTGAAGATAAGAAGCCATTTAAATGTTTCACCCCTAAGGGTTCCTCCCTCAAGGTAAATTAAAAAAGAAAAAGAAAGCTATGTCGTCCTTCTGTGCAATATTGGAAAGGGGGCAGGTGGTGCTGATATGGGGCCACTAAACTCTCATGGGACATGGTGGCGCTGTGGGCTAAACCTCAGAAGCCTGTGCTGCAGGCTCAGAAGACCAGCAGTCGTAAGATCGAATCCACGCGACGGAGTGAGCTCCCATCGCTTTGTCCCAGCTCCTCGCCAACCTAGCAGTTCGAAAGCATGTAAATGTGAGTAGATAAATAGGTACCACCTCGGTGGGAAGGTAAAATGGCATTCCCTAGTCACGCTGGCCACGTGGCAACAGAAACTGTCTTCGGACAAGCGCTGGCTCTACGGCTTGTAAACAGGATGAGCACCGCCCCCTAGAGTCAGACACAACTGGACTAAAAATGTCAAGGGGAACCTTTACCTTTTAAACTCTCTCACACAGGCTAGCTCTTATTCCTTGCCTAATGACGAGTCCTGCATGGATCAAAAGCTAGCCTGTTTATGAGAATTCAAGAGAGAATTTAATGAGCCCACCCTTGTTATTTCCATGTAGTGTCCCTTTGCAGGCAACTGGTAACACGTGCCCTGTATCAAGCATGTGAAGGTGTTTGATGATGCCTGTTTTGCCATTTCAATCAGTCTGTTAGAAAGTTAACGCCAAAATCACTGGTAAAGTATCTGATAATGCATTGTGCATCGGATCATGTGGGCCACTGTCCATGACAGCTTATGACAAATAAAACTTGCCCGTCTTTGAGATGGCACTAGACCTTATTGACAGATTGCCACTGAGAGCTTTAAATGTCTCTGTTTAGAAACAACCCTGCCACTCAGATGCCTCTGGCACTGTGCCTCTGTTTTGTTTTGCATGTAATGTCCTGGTCATCTCTGCACGGACAGCCAAGCCCATAACGGTGACCTCTTCTGTTGCTCGTTGGGGCTGCCCGTCCCTCCGTGAATAGGGTTGACATATCTTTGTGCATTTTGGCTCCTTCCTCTTTAATAGCTGTGCATTGAATAAGATGGTATGCGATTTGATGTTGCTATTTTTGCCAGCAGGGGAAGAAAACGACTACAACTAATGAGCCTTTGCCTCCCGAATGTGTCATGAATGAAGCAGGAGTCGTTCCAGCAGAATAAATACAATGGCAGCCTTCCCTATGACGGGGTGGTTGCATGTAAATACATAGTTCCAAAACCCCCCCCCCCATGCGACTGTATAGAGAAAAGTGAGTTTTGGAAAAGGCAGAAATTGGCACCATGAGCTGCTTTGACTAAGCTGGTTAATACCTCACACATGCCAGAAATGGGTTTTGGCAGCGTGGACTACAGCTTGGAAATACTGTTTAAAAAAAAAACTACAACTCCCAGATTATCCTAGCCAGTATGATCATGGGCCTGAGGTATTCCTGGAGGTGTCATCTAAAAAAAATTAGTCCAACATTCCCAGGCTCTGATGCAGAAGAGCATTCTCTTTGTCCACAGGTTCAGTTCAGGCTGTGACCTCCCAGAATCTTTAGCTCTTTCTGCTTGAATTCTGGAAGGCTTGGAGCCAGTCAAAGAACAGAAGGCTGGATCAAGGGGTGGAGAACCTGTGCCCTTCTGACATTGCTGGACTATGGGTTCCACTGGATTCCTCTTGGCAGGGGTGACGAAAGAATCAATGTGGCAATGTCTAGAGGTCCCATGGGTTCTTAGTCTTTGAATGAGATGGACAAGGAGTAGCAAATGGCGCAGGGGGACCTTCATATGATTCCTCAGCAGAAGAGGGGAAAAGTTACCTTTTTTTGTGCCACAGCTTCCCAAGCCTTACGGTGTGATTCTGGGAGTTATGGAGAAAAAAAGTAATTACAGTGGTGCCTCGCTTTATGATTGCCCCACATTACAACGAAACTGCATTACGACGATCTTTTTGCAATCGCAAAACGATGGTCTGAATGGGGTTTTTTCGCTTTGCGATGATCGGTTCCCTGCTTCGGGAACCGATTCTTCGCAAAACGACGATTTTCCTCCAGCTGATCAGCAGTTTCAAAATGGCCACCAGGTAAATAAAATGGCTTCCCGCTGTTTTCTGGGATGGATTCCTCGCTGCACAGGCAGCAAAAATGGCTGCCGTATGGAGGATCTTCGCTGGACGGGGAGTTTCCAGCCCATTGGAACTCATTAAACAGGTTTTAATGCGTTTCAATGGGCTTTTTATTTTTGCATTACGACGTTTTCGTTCTGCAGCGATTTCTCTGGAACGAATTAACATCGTAATGCGAGGCACCACTGTATTCTTATCTCCACCCTACACAAGTTGACTGCCGCCTTGATGGAATGCAACGTAAATCCATCCCTGAAAGTTCTTAAAGGCTTTTGAAAGACAACGGCAGGCCAGGAATCCTAATTTAAAAAAAAAAACCAGATTTGTCATAAATCCTGTATTGATTTCCATGCAAAGTGGACTAAAATTCTGACCCTGCTTCTTAATATTTCTCCTGCTTCTCAGCCAGGTCTACATCTACCATTGACTTTCAGCTTCCTTAGAAATTGCTAAGTGCAAAACGGAGTTTAATTTTACTTTGGTTTGGGATCCTTCAGCACTTAATAGGTTCCAAAGATAGATATTTCTCTGTTCTTTTGCGAGTCCCAGAATGAGGTGCTTGCTTTTTGCCATCAAAGTAAGATCCAGAGTAAGAACTGATGCAAGACCATCAGTTGACTGGTTTGTACATCCTAGTTTAGGCACAGGGTGGAAGTATTTGCTGTTGGCCTTTAACCACCACCCACTTTTCATCTTGTTTTACAGATCTATTTTGTAATTCTGTTTACCGTATGTGCCCTAATGTTTCTAGTCATGAGCATGTTGTTGCTTGCTTTGTGTGGTGATGTCTGTTTCCAAATTCTGTGCGTCATTTTGTGCTGGGTTTGATCAACGCCTTCGAAAGCTTTTTCTTTCTGTTGATTTTTCCAGGCAAGCCTGCCTATCACAGAAAGGAAGAGCAGCAAAGGGGGCGGGGGGGGGGGGAAATGTATTTATTTATTTGGATTTGTTTCCATCCCGCTCTTCAACTAACAGATTTAAACTAAAAATCACAGTAAATACCACACAAAGAAATGTAAAGCAGTTGGCCTAACGGACCAAGATACCAGCAACAGAAAAGGATGCTGGTCAGATGTAAAAAAGAAAACAACACAAATCAGCAGGCAGAATTCCCTGGTCCTTGCTTGATACGAAAAGGCAAGGCTCTAGAGAAAGGCCACTCTGACATTAGCATGCCCCGTAGCCCTTGGGAGTTTTACTAAGTTGGACTACAACTCCCATAGACTAGATTGGCTTGGAGATTCTGGAAACAGCGGCTTTAAAACGGTAACCTTTCCAAGCTTTGAAATGGCTTTTCTTTCGGATTACCACACTTTTCCTCTTCTGCACTGGAGAAGGATCTTCCTATTCAGGCAGGTTCATGGCTTGCTCTTATGGTTGTTACTCTCTCTCTCTGCCTTACAATGGAATATAGCAAGAGTTTGGAAAAGTTTCTATTTTGGACTTCAACTCCTAGAATCCCTCAGCTGGCATAGCTATTCTGTGAAAGCTTAGCTGTTCCTGGCTGCCTCATCAAGAGGTCCATCTCTATGTCTCCCTAACCATGCTTCCCCCCAACACAAAGCCCGTTCCAGATCTTTTCGGCTACATTTCTCATTTCCCCATCCACTGGGCACATTGCTTGCAGCTGATGGGTGCAGCAGTCCAAAGCATTTAATAGTTGTTGAGATAGGAATCATAGAACAATCAAAAAATAATTGGAAGGGGCCATAAGTCTATAAAGTCCAACCCTGCGCTCAATGTAGGAATTCGAATCAAAGCAGATGTAACAGATGGTTGTCCAATTTTCTCTTGAATGCCTTCGGCACTGGAGCGCCCATCGCCTCCCCAAGTAATTGGTTCCGTTGTTGTAGTGCTCTAACATTTAAGAAGTTTTTTCCTGATATTCAACCTAATGTAGCTTCCTGTAGCTTGAGCCCTCTAACATTTAAGAAGTTTTTTCCTGATAATTCCACCTAATGTAGCTTCCTGTAGCTTCAGCTGATTGTTACATGTCCTGCACTCTGGGATGATCGAAAACAGATCCTTCCCCTCCTCTGTAGGACTACCTTTCAGGTATTTGAAAAGTGCCATCATATCTCCCTTCAGTCTTCTTTTGTCAAGACTAAACCTGCCTAGTTCTTTCAGTCTTTCCTCATCCGGCTTGGTTTCCAGTCCCTTGATCTGCCTGGTTGCCCTCCTCTGAACCTTCTCTGGTTTGTTGGCTTTCTCTTAAAAGTTGTGTGTCCAGAACTGGGATGAGTGTTGTTGGCCAGCCTTTTCTACTCTGAATAGCAGCTCCCCCCCTCTACCTGCTACCTGGCCCTTTACCTGGATTTGCCAGGGATAGTACCTGTGGCTTCCTGCATGCAAAGCATGAGCTCTGACCACTGAACCACAATCCCTCTGTATTCACAGTACTGGGCTCATCCTTACTTATCATGCTTGTTCTGGAAAAACGCCCTTTTGATGCCGCTGTCTTTTCTCGCATAAAGGGCGGAGAGGCTCCCAAACCTGGTTTCATTTGATTGGCGTTTCTGTGGCAGCCCTCCTCTTTTGCTTCCCAACCATGAGCTGCTGCCCGACGACCTGTTGTGGCGAAGAGAGCTTTGCAGACCTTCCATACCAGTGCAAGTTGTTGCTTCTGCGTGTCGCTCAGGTTTGGGATGGCACACCTCTTTGCTTTTTCTCAGATTTAGAATCCCCCCCACCCAACTTGTCAAAATCTGGGAGCTGTACTTTGAAAAGGAAGCTTTGCTTCTTCCTGCTGCTGCGGAATCAGATCCGAAAGAGCTGCCACAAGTTAATAGAGGAGAACCACCCTTTGAAGAAGGCCACAGGGACGCAGCCTTGAAAGATGCAGTGGGAAGAGTGTAAACATCCCTGAGCTTGGAAAACTGGGGAGGAAAGAGAGACAGTCTGAAAGCTAGAAGCCTCCAAGGGTCAGTGGGCCAGGGAGAGCCCATGCAGTTTTTCCATGGCTGGCACTTTCAAGATTTCTTAAAGACAAGAATGGTCATGTGGACACCCTTTGACACTGGATTACAACTCCTGCTATCATCTCTTATCTGGCAAGAGCCTTGGGGGAAATCGAGACTGGAAACACACAAGCTCCCTGCTTTTCTTTTTGAGTGAGGGAATGATGGGATACATTAGACTACATTCTAGTCAACCCCTTCATTGACAAATCTTACTTCAACTTCTTTTTGTACCAAAAGGCGGTTTTAAAAAAAATCTACACAAAATTAGTATCTAAATGTGCATTTTGAAATGTAATTCTTAAAAATAAGGTTTGATACAGTTTTGAGAAGTGCCTCAACATAATAGGGAGTGCATAATTCAAAAAATCCCAACCTACATATTAAATTGGGAGGTGCAGATCCAATCAGTACAAACTGCCATTGCAGCTGCAAATTAATTAATTAATTAATTAATTTTAAAAATCCTTGACCATCTTTTCTGATGGAGAGATACTTAAAAAAATGGGCAAGTCTCTCAGTTTAATGGTCTCTCACATTCAGATTTTGCTGATTTGGGTGAATTCTGGCAAAATATGATTAATAATGAAATCCTCAGAGATTCCTACCGTAGTAGCAGTGTTGTACTGCCATCTAGTGGTCATGAGAAGAAATGCAGACATAACTGTTGCTACCTTCTATGGCAATCTACCCAGTTTTTCAATCAGACTTTTGACAATTGTGCAATATTCCAGTTTGTGAAACAAACCAGGTGCCTTAATTCTGTAAAAGGGCAATATGATGTAGTGAATAGAATGCCTGCAAAGAATAGCTGCTTCAAAGGGCATCCATTTAGGGTGACCAGGTGAAAAAGAAGACTGGATTCCTGTGCCCTTAATAGTTGTGTGGAGCAGGAAATTCCAGCAGGTGTATTTTGCATTAAAAGCCGCACCTGCTGAAATTTCCTTTTCTGGGCAACTATTAAAAGGTATAGGAAACCTCTCCTATTTTTCATTTGGCACCCACCCTACATCTCTTATCCTAAGCACAGGGCAACCAATGTTGCAGAATTCCATTCCTGGAAAGAAACCATTTTGGAGCCTAAGAAGTCACCAAGTCTACACATTTGCAGGTGTTATCAAATCTTCCCTCAGCTCAGGTTGGGTCAGGATTAGAGATGGCGCAGTTCTTATAGTCAAGATAGGTGACTCAGTTATTCCTCTAATGAAGTCTACCAGATGAAAAAGCCAACATCATTCCTGCAATTTTAATATAGTTGCTTCTGAGAGGAAATGTCGGCAGGTGCAGCTTTTAATGCTGAGGAAGTCTGCTGAAATTTCCTGCCCTCATATAGCTGTTAAATGTACATGAATCCTGTTCTTTTTTTCTTATTCAGGTTCTTGTAGCTCTTATTGTAGCTTTCCAGGTTGATGTATCATAATAGAACACCCATTTTGAAACTAAAGCCTTGGTTGGCTCCCCTTATTGGGAGAAAGGTAGCCTATAAATAAAACAAGCAAACAATTAAACAAATTGTATTTAAACAAGAAGTCAAGGCAGATAGAGTGGCTCACCAAACAGCATCTTGGCAAATTTGCTTGAAATGTTACTCTTTCGGATGACAATTCTCAGCATGCTGGTTGGGGGGTTCCATAATTACATCATTACAAGATATGGTATTTCCAAGCTCTGGCTTTAAGTAGCACAATGTTCTCGTGCTCAAGGCTCTCCCACTTGATTTTCGTCATGGCAGTGTGTGACAAAATCTACTCCAGCTTTCTATCAGCTCTGAATCTGATTCCTAGCTTTATTTGCTTATTTATTTATTTGGCAGCAGGTAAAGACCTGGACTTTTATTCCTTTTAATTTGGGGGAGGGCAGTGGCTACGTACAACTTAATTTAATGTTTAAATTAACATTTTACTCTTTTTTGTAAACCTCCTTGAGTATATAAGCGTAGAGCGGTATAAAAATAATAGCAAGAAACAAATGACGTTTTAGACAGCAATTTTCTGTCACACGTTTACTTTTAATGTGTGCATATGTACAACACATATTTGGTTCTGAAATCCATAGTAAAGTTTGAGATATTTTTCCAGGAATTGTTTAAATCAGGGTATATCAATGATCTTAGGCTTCTGTCTAAAATCCCTCCCCATCTGTTTGACCTGAACAGAGATTGGAAGATTTATTTGGGGGTAATTTGGCTGCTTTGACTTTCCAACCTGCATGGTTTGGGCATTCTGAAGGCTGAACTCCAAAATGCAACTTTTCCCAAGTTCTGGACTTGAACCTCAGTATTACTGAAGATGTGTGATTCCTTCCCAGGCTCGTTTTCCTCTTCTCCCTCCATTTTGCATCTCCTGCCATCACAGAGTACTGCCAAGGAGGTGGAATGATGGGTGGCCAAAACAAACGGATGTAGTTACTGTATATGTTCCGTTTTAGTATTTTTGGCTGTTACTAAAGTGAAAGAAACCCCCAGTCCCCTGGACTGCAAGGAGATCAAACCTTATCAGTTCTGAAGGAAATCAACCCTGAGTGCTCATTGGAAGGACAGACCCTGAAATTCAGGCTCCAATACTTTGGCCATCTCATGAGAAGAGAAGACTCCCTGGAAAAGACCCTGATGTTGAGAAAATGTGAAGGCAAGAGGAGAAGGGGACAACTGAGGACGAGATGGATGGACAGTGTCATCCAAGTGACCAACATGAATTTGACCCAACTCCGGGAGGCAGTGGAAGACAGGAGGGCCTGGCATGCTCTGGTCCATGGGGTCACGAAGAGTTGGACACGACTTAACAACTAAACAACAACAACAAAAGTGAGAGAAGAAGAGACATTGGGTCATTGTCTTCAATGGCAACCATTTCACATCTTGTTCCAGACACTGGGTCACTTTTCCAGTCATTCTATTTTGGCTCCCATATCAACTTTTAAGAATACATTTTTCCATGCCAGCTCAGTCATTTTCCAATCATTTGCTAAAAATTCTGATTACAGAATTCCAGTATCTGTAGGTGAACTTCCTAGCAAACTGATCTTCTCTCTCTTTTTGGCTTTATGTGTGTTACTATTTGCTGTGTGTTATATTACTGCGTTTTTTATTGCCTGTGCTTTAGGTAGTGAACCATCAAACTTCTTTTTGTCAAGTTGTTTTTTGGCTTTATGTGTGTTACTATTTGCTGTGTGTTATATTACTGCGTTTTTTATTGCCTGTGCTTTAGTGAATCCTCAAACTTCTTTTTGTCAAGTTGCGTTGCTGCTTTTAAAGAAGACCTATTGTTTTCTTACTTCACTTCCCCGTTTTTTCCCTTCCAGATAGAAGAACGTGCAGAGTTCTTGAATAAATCTGCCCAGAAGAGGTAAATCTCCATTGCTATAGAACAGGAGTATTTTATGCATTCAGTATCCACGGGTAGGAACTCACAAGTCCCTGTTGTTCCATTTTTTTACACAGTGGTATGAAACCCACTCACACGACTCCAGTTGTCTCCAAGATAGATAGCAGGTTGGAGCAATACACCAGTGCAATCGAGGTGAGTTCATCACTGCTCCTGAATTTCCCACATTCATCTGGGTGGCTTCTCCTAGCAAGATGCTTGTGAGATGTTTGATGATTCAGAGCCAAAAAACCACCCCTGAACCATGATTTGTTTTAATGTCTGAATTCAGCCTTGCCTACAAATTATGGTTCATTTAGAACTGATAAACCAAGAATATGAAACCCAAAGACAAATCAAGTTTGCAAACCATAGTTCTTGTTAACCATAGTTTGTTGTTACATCTGAATTCACAGAGGAAAGACAGGGGCCTCTGTTTTGCCTTAAGAACGTGTATATGTGCGTGCATGCTCTTCCAGAGGTGGCAAATGTTCCTGTAAGAATACTAAGTTCTGTACTATTGGCTTCTGTATTGTTCCTTACCATCCAAGTGTCTTGTAGGTTTGAACCAATACATTCAGTGCTCTTTCACCTGCCTTTTTGTGCTTTCATTCCCGCTGAAGGTGTGGTTTGTTTTGTTCCCAGTTGATAAGAGTTTAACAATGTGATACTTTAACTAGGTAAGAGGAATTTTCCTCCTAGGGTTTCAAAGATTTCTTGGAAGTAGTTTTCAGATATGTGGCATCTTGCTGTACAGTTTTGACTACAGATGGGCACAATCTGCTGGCCTGGCAGTTTGTGCCGGTTCATTATCAGGCAAACGGCTGTTTGGTACGTCAAAGCCCCACCTTCTCTACCGGATACCCACTCAGAGGCAGCGCCTGGAGAAGGTGGGGCAGGAAAGCCAAGCTGTTGTACCCGAAGTAGTTTTCAGATATGTGGCATCTTGCTGTACAGTTTTGACTACAGATGGGCACAATCTGCTGGCCTGGCAGTTTGTGCCGGTTCATTATCAGGCAAACGGCTGTTTGGTACGTCAAAGCCCCACCTTCTCTACCGGATACCCACTCAGAGGCAGCGCCTGGAGAAGGCGGGGCAGGAAAGCCAGGCTGTTGTACCTACTGGAGGGGGCAGGGTTTTGAAGCACTGAGCAATTATTGAGCCAATAAACAAGCTGGCATGAATCGTCAAACTGGCAAATTGTCCCCATCTCTCATTTGGACATGAGTTCCAGTGGGTATCACCATTGGGGGCAGAATTTTTGCATCATCTGGAAGAGCTGTATGTTTGTGAATATCATACATCCGTATATTAATCTATCAATCTACCTAACTTATTAATTTTATTTATTAAGACATTAGCATCCTGTTTTACTGGTACAAAACTATTGGGACAGTATACATGATTTAAAACTTTGTATTTCATTAAAACAATAACAATATGAAGCAAGAAGTCTGGAATAGAGTGGATCTCAAAAATAGGAAAATAATACATATGTTTCATAATGTGGTTGCAGCCACTGAGAACACCGTCTCCTGTGTTCCATTCAAATATGACCTATCCCTGCAAGCATTTTTATCAGTTTCACTTTAATATATTTTTAAAGACCACCATGCAATTAAAATTGTTTGTTTCATTTGCACGCTGCATTTCTCCTGGTGAGGGGACCCAAGGCAGCTGACAGTCATGAAATGAAATTCTACTAAAGACACAGTGGCTAAAGTCCTGTTGCTTGGCAGAGAAAGCTACTTTAGAGTACACAACTAGTGTAGTTGTGACTTACTACACTAAAGCAAGTTAGAGCTGTAATTGACTTGTTGAATGAAATAGAGCTTACGGAGGAATTGACTTGCCAAATCCTAGCTAATTCAATGGGCCTACTTAGGACTGCTTACTAGGGTAGACAACACGATTTCAACCAGAAAATTACAAAGTTAAAGAAACAATTAACCATAGAATACTAATCAAAGCAGTTGTCTAAAAATTTAAAAGCTTTGAAAGCACACTTACTCAATCTTGTCCAGTTTATTTCTTAAAAGCTTGCCTTAAATTGTCACCAAAAATGACAATAGCGTAGAGGTGGTGCTGGAGGGTAGCGAAAGTCACAGATAGCGGATTATGGAAGCTGTCATATCCAAAACCCAATCTTTGAGTTAATGGTGGTGGTGGTGGGGACTGCCTGGAAAGAGTTAGGCTGCGGACCACAAGGTAGTAGGCTTAGCAGTACAGTATTGGTAATAATGGGTTCCTTTGGAGGGGATGTGAGAAGATGAGGAATGAAGCAGAGAGAAGGGGATAGAAAGCAACAAGGAGAATGTAGGGGAGCAGGGATCCTTGTAAAATCTCCTTGTGAAATCTCATGGGCAGCCAACTAGTTTTACAGTAACATGCTCTAATGGAAAAAACATTGAGGATGACCAGCTGTTTCCTTGCAGGGCACTAAAGCCGCAAAGGCCCCCAAACCAGCTGCCTCCGACCTCCCAGTTCCCGCTGAAGGGGTCCGTAACATCAAGAGCATGTGGGAGAAAGGCAATGTCTTCTCATCACCCTCTGGGACAGGAACATCCAATAAGGTATCTTATTTATCTGGGGTTTTTTTTTATACCACCCATCTGGCTGCCGAGGCCACTCCGGATGGAGTACAAATAGGGTAAAACAATAACAGAACAATGAGGATAATCAACAACAACCAAACAAAATGTAAAAAGTACAAACAAATTACATTAAAAACCACACAATAGAACAGAATAACATAAAATGAAACAACATGGCGGTAGTTTGAATGTTCATTGTTAGAGGCACTGTTGTATCAGGATGTATTCAATTCTGGGAAGGGGTTGTCTAAAAAGCCACGTTTTTGAATAGTTCTTTTAAAAGGTTCCCAATGAAGGTACACCTCTCAAACCTCGCCACTTCAAAAGTTTGCACACTCTTTAAGCGCAACCACATCTCCTGGCTGCCGTTCAAAGTGGAAGGGATGAAAGAATGCTTAGTTGCATTTTGTGGGAGCTTGAACTGGGCCTCCATCTCTGTGTCTTCATAGTTTGGTCTTCTAAGCCTGAGCTTTTGAGATAAAATTTGAGCGCTCCTAGGTCATGGCCCACCACTTTTGTGAAGACCTTGGAACAAAGGCAAAGCACGAAACTTTGGACTTAATCCCCAAGTCATCTTTTCTCCTCCTGACCTTCCACATCCATGCTCTTAACGAGGCCTCTCCTTTCCACCTGTGACCAAACCTTCCGCAGGAAACGGCTGGACTGAAGGTCGGTGTCTCCAGTCGCATCAACGAGTGGTTAACCAAGACCCCAGAAAACAGCAAGTCACCTGCTCCCAAACCATCCGTGAGTCTTTTTCTTTTCCTGTTCTAAGTTGCCTCACCCTTTAAGACTTTAAGCAGCTGTGGTTTGCTGGGCGAGGCAGTTGTTAACTACAGAAGTGAGTTGAAAATGACCAGCACTTGTACTTGAGGAAACATCTGAAGCTAGTTCAGTATTCTTTGGTCGTTTTTCACTGGGTCTCAGGGAAAGCATGTGCCAGGACCCTCTTTCCTGTTCTCTTTAGTGGCAGCACCTCCTCTTCCTGGCTGCCAAGACCAGTTGTGTGTCAACAGTTACGCCTGGGTAATTGGGCCTGGTGCTTGCATTACCAAGGACAACAGGATGGGGGGGTATACTTTTCACATGGCAAGATTTTTTCAAGGCAGGATTTCCCACCCATCCCAGGCCTTGTTGCTGTCCTCGGTGTATCTGAATCTGTTTGCTACACCCTTTTCAAAAAGGAACATAGGATGCTATCTTGAAACAGATGTTTTCAGATACATTCTCACCTGTACCTTGTTCCTGCCTGAGTTGAGGCTTCTCCAACATCATACAAGAGTCTGCCAAGCATTTTCTGGTGGCTCACAAGAGTGCTAGACTTTAGCATCAGGGAGAGGCAACATACACTCCCCCACACAAGTGTTTTCTATAAACGTGGCAATAGAAAACTAGTGTTCCCCCCCCAAAAAAAGCATATATAAACATGCACAGTAAGGGGGGGAAAAGGCAGGCTTAGTGATAAGAGAGACAAAAACAAAGGTCAGCCTTTTTGCTCTTTAGGATGGTCAGATGACCAACCAAGTTAGAATTTGCATCCATTGACCGCAAGCTCCATCATCACCCTTGTCTATTGGCCACAGTGGTTAGCGTGTATGGGAATTGTAGTTTTTAAAAGAGCACAATTTGGGGAAGCTGTAACAAGGACTGCTGGCTAAATGCTCTTAGAGACAGGCTGTTGGGTTGATATGCTTTTCAGCTAGTAGAACAAGAGTCTTTCTGTGGTTTTCTCCATCTCCATTCAACACAAAGTTGGGGTTTTTAAGTTGCTAGAAAAGTGCCTTTCACATACTTAACAGCTGGACTTGAGAATGTGAAATACTTCACAGAAATGAATTAAACTAATCTGTCCTTTCTTCACACTCATTTTCTTTTTCTCAGTGCTTGTTCTCTTCTCTCTTCTCTTTTACCACCATCTTCTTGGCTGAAATCCTGTACAGACACCTGCTGTTCTATTCTTCTCTGGGACTGGCTGTTTTCTGTCAAATGTAGTCAGGTAAAAATCTGTTTCAAAGGATGCTTTGCTAAATTACAAAACTGTGACTTCAGTGCTCTTGGCTGGCTTCTCCTTCATGCAGTTCCTGCTTGTTTCAATAGACCTTTTTTTGGAAATAAGTGATAGATATCTTCCACCATTATTTGTATACAAAAGTTCATTGTGAGATGGTTCACTTTCTCTTCTTTAATCTTGCTTCATTTTCTTGTTGAAAATTTAAGGATTTAAAACCTGGAGACGTATCCGGAAAACGCAACCTCTGGGAGAAACAATCAGTTGAGAAAGCCAGTTCTCCCACAAAGGTAATGTATCTCCATGAATTAATTTATGTCTTTATTATAGCATAGAGGTTGTACCAGACGAGACAGAAGCTTTGCAGTTAGAAAGTGATCGCATGTTTTTTCTCCAGGTACATAATTAGTCAGAGCTGAACAGTCCGTTGCAAATTAATTGGCTGTGCATTTAGTCAAACAGAAATCCAATGCTAAGAAAATCAAATAAATCTACTCTCTCAATGAAGCATTGCTTTTAGCGACAGGCTCACTAGTCTCCATTTGACTGCCTGTTCTGTTTTACTTTGATAAAATCTGTTGGGATATGTATGTAAAAATGCATCTGATCTTTCTCTTTGTGGAAATCCTTTATGATACAGGTGACAGCAGGGAAAAAGGCAGAGACCAATGGTAAGTGAAACAACGTTTCAGCCATATTTGATCAGCAAGACAGGTGCTCCCCTGAGTTTCCCTAGTTTGGCAAGCAGATTATGATAATGGTGGCCTCAGGAAGGGAGTGGTTGTGGTAGAAGTTAGCTGATAATTTTGAAATTATTTGAAAAACAAAGCCGTGCATCCTGGCTTAGGTGGATACCCCTCTTCACCCAGTATCCTTTCCCTAATGGTGGCTGGAGATGCAGGGCTGCGGTTAACCAAGGACCAAGCCTGGCAATGTGGTATTTTATTCTGAGTTCTGGTAGAACAGTGATTCTCAACCTGGAGTATTTCAGTTATTTTGGACTTCAATACTTGGAGTCCTTTACTCTAACTATCTGGATGGCACTGCTGAGAGTCGAAATCTAAACATCTGGTGACCCAAAGATTGAGAAACACTTGCTGTAAATTATAAGCATGAAGAATTATAGCATCTCTTGAGCATTTTCATCCCAGGTTTTTATGGCTTAAATCAGGGGTGTCCAACCTTTCACCTTCCCTGGGCCACATTAGAAGATAAAAATTTGGTATGGGCCGCACATAAATTTGGTTTGAGCCGCATGGGGGGGGGGCAGCCCTAGCCATCCTCTGCAGCCCCGCTCCAAGTGCGCTTACCGGCAGCTGCGATCTCAGACAGCAGAGGCTGCCAGCTTCAACTCAGGTGGCTTTATGGGGCCGGGAGAGGGCCCACCTATTGACGGGGATGGCGCAATGCAGTCACGCAGCACCCCTCTCCCCTCCCCTCCCACTCCTTCCTTCCTTCCCTCTCCTCCCCCCCATTGTGACGTGCCCCAGCCGCATTCCGGCCGCAAGCGCCGGCAGTGTAACTTGAAACTTTGGAATTTCTTTAAAAATAAAAAAATTGCACTGGGTCGCATTATGAGCCAACCGGGGCCGCATGCGGCCCTCGGGCCACAGGTTGGACAAGCCTGGCTTAAATGATGAATGTGACATGACAAGATTTTTGTAAGGCTTGGAACCCTTAGAAATCACCACCTTCCTTGCTTTACCGGCTCACAGCATAACCTCCCACCCTCCATCCCCCAGCCCTTCCGTCAAGAACTTCCCATCGCTGTCCTGTTGTCCTACAACACTCCTCCCTTGGCCATCCTGTCCCAGCTTTCTTTGTATCCTGCATAGGAAACGGCCTTATCCCAAGTCAGATCCTTGGCCAGTCTGACTCAGTATTGTATTGACTGTCAGCCATCTAGCATTTCAGGGGCTTCCCACATCCCCAGCCCTACCTGGAGGTCTCAGGGATCGTAACTGGAACCCTTTGCATGCAAAGCATGTGCTCTGTCATTGAGTCGAAGGCCTCTCTCCTGCTGCCTCCCCCACACACACCCCGTCCGCTACCACTGCTTTTTCTTATAGGTCTACTTCCTCATTTTGTTGCAGCTGCCTTATTTGACTGGAAATGGGCAAAGCTTTTAACAAAAGAAATTGAAATTGTTCCTAAATGTATTTGATTACCCTAGAGACACCATTGAAATTACTTGGGTCATCCTTCACCTGTGCAAGTGTAGATTTTGTACTGCTGATTCTGGGGTGAGAGCTGTAGGATGGGGGGGCCCATAATTGGGTTACTTTGTGCAGTTGTGCTTGTGTAGTCTATACTCATCAAGTACTGAGAGCCAGTCTTGAGGTAGTCTGCAAATCCTTATTCTGTGTTTATTAAGTTAAACTAAATAGAAAAAAGGCGTTTTTCAAAGGGAGAGGTGCATCCAAGCTACTTAACAGAGAAAGATTATATGGCACATCCCTGCTAGCTATAGCAAAAATCCAGTGGCACTGTTCCACATACACCTGTATATAGTCTTAGAAAGTGGAAATAACAGCAGAGATTGAGGTGCTGCTTCGGAAAGTGGAAAAATAGATTGTCTCTCACTTATTAATACTCACGCTTCACCTTTTGTTAGCAAAAGAGCAGGTAGACAATGCTTTGGATACTATGAGATACGTAAAAGATGCATGAAGTTTGCAGTTCATTGGAAACTTCTCACACATATAAATACGTGAGCAAAGAAGTACTGTATTGCGAATACTGTACAGTCAGGAGTACTTGGTCTCTGTTGCCAGGGGTTATTGATGCACTGTTACAAGAGCAGCATTCTTTGAAATAATCAGAGATTTCCCAGTTATGCCAGTATCCCAGCATTGATTGGCATTTATTGCTCTTATAAGCAACCTCTTAACCTCTTTTTCTTTCAGCAGGTTTGAGACAATTTGAAAAAGAACCCTAAGGAAGCTGTTCATGATGCTGGACCAACTTGCTTTTTTTTTTTTTTAAATGGAAGTGCTAAATCTGTCCCTTTCTTTTTATATATATTTATGTTTGTTTACCAAAGGCCTTTTTGGGGGGGTTGGGTTCTTGCTGTTGCTTCATTATCCCAGTTTTTTTAAAAAAAACATGTATATGAGCACTCTATTTAATAATCAGACTTAAAACGTTCATCGTAATAGTAGTGCCTTACGCCTAAAAGGAAGCCATGCTGTGAAAAACAGGAGACACTTCTACCGATTCGTTTTAAAAAAAACTGTGGGTCCGAACAAGACGTATGTGAAGCCGGAGAAGAGGAGCCGGAGGTCCCATTGACTGGAAAATTAATGGGCCAGGTTGATCCAAGTAGCCAGTGGGTGTTTTTCAAAGGGAGAGGTGCAGCTAAGCTCTGCCATTACCAGCTTACTTAACACAGAAAGATCGGTTACACTCTCCTATTGGAACCTCCTATGTAAATCCACTGTGTGCAGAGGCCATGGCACGCCATTACTGTCATCTCTGGTGGCATGCCATTTCCATGCATGAATGCACGTGTTGCCCTCCTTGTTGACTGCAACCCCAGTTGCTTCAGGGATAGATATCCTGAATCCAGACTGATCTCGGGTCCCTGCGTGAACAGAACGTTGAACTACGCTTTGGGCTTGGTCCAACCTGGCTCTTAGGCATTTAGGAATTTTATTACTGAGTTGTCACATGTAATCAGGCGTTCATGAGCATTACCCTCTTGATCCTTGAAGGCCGTGTACATGGTGGAGATGACTGGATTCAGGTGTGCTTCTCCGCTCTTCAAAAAGGAACGTGGAAAAGAGGGGCATAGGAAATAGGAACTGTGGATCCCTCCATTCACTTCTATGGAACATCAGATGCAACAGACCCCCATTCTTTCTTTCTGCACTTTAGACTAAGGCATGGAAGAAACTCCTTTAGTTGACCATTTCCCTATTGTTTATCCATGTCAAATGTGCATCAAGATGAAACAGGTTTTGTAATTTTTTTAAGTAATCTTTTTTTTCTATTTAGTTTAACTTAATAACCTAAATTTGGACGATTGCAGTTGACAGTGGTACTAATTAACTTCCCCCCCCCTCTCTTACTCTCTTTGGTTAGCTGCAATTTTAGAAAATATACCTATAGCTTTACAAAACTTAGCTCAAAGGCACTTCTAATAGTAGGAGGCTTTGAATACCTGCTAGAGTGCTATATTTAGTTATAAAGTTACATAACTAGCCAATATCACAACTCTTTTTTTTCCTAAACAAAACACACTTTTTATATTAAGGTTTCATAATTGCCATAGATGTATTGGCAAGAAAAGTATTAGAATTTTTTTTAAAAGAAATCAGAGGCCTGTGAATGGGCCTGTGGATTAAAATTATAGTTTTAAAGAGGGATGGAAAAAAGGGTATTAAGCGTCAGGCATAGGTCACATGTATAAATCAATGTAGCTAATTTATATAAAACTACCATAATTAACACACACAAGATGCACGCACACTCAGTTGGTGAGACTTCTTTTCTACTTTACTGCACACTGATATTTGCCCTTTTATCAAGTTTATATGCATTGCACACTGTTTTAAATACGTGGACATAATCCATCCACTTGTGGGTGCAGCCACATACATAGGTGAGGATCAGCAGCCGTCTGGATTGCTATTCCTCATCTATAGGGGAAGCCAAGAGATTCCTCCTCTATATAACATCTAGCTGCTTCTTTCCTGCTCAGGACTCCTGCTAAGGCACTCTAGCATGCCTGTGAAGCCAAGGGCATGCCAGTGTATAGGAAGGGCAGAAGGAAGGCCCCAGTCAATCTTGTGCTGATTTGTTCCCCATAAGCACAGGTGCATTGGGAGATGATGGTGATGTGGAGAGGCCAGGGGTTGATGTCCCCAAGTTTTCCGCCCAGAAGTTCTTCCTTACAGCCATATTATTCAACTTGTATATAGCAACCACAAGTGATGTTTGTTTTTTAAGATAAGAATTTACATACCACATTATGTTCAGCATTTACACCGTACAGTACATTCGTGGAGTAACATGGGTAGCACAGTTTAGTTATAGTTAAAATTTTATAGCCAAACCTCAGATGCAGTTATAGTTTGAGAACTGTTACTCTCTTGTTACCGCTTTCATTTTTGTTGCATCTATCTATATGTATTTTAAAGAGATAAGATGATGTGGCACTATCCAGAAGCCAATTCCTCTGCTTCCCTAAACTGTCTTGTTTACATATTGACATTCACTTGGGCTTTTGGAATGGAGTGAAATCATGCAGCGAGTGACTTTGGGTTTGTCTCTTCTCGTTGCTTGGTTGTTATTTTTAAGACACTTTTTGGATTCTTTACATCTGAGTATCTGCAATAAAACCTATGTTGAATTTGCAAGTCACAATAAATGGGAGTATGTCTACCAGAAAGTAGTTCTGTTCATTCCCCCCTCCCTTCTTCTTCTTTTTTTTAAAGGAGGAAGTATTGTTTTGGAATTTGCTGAGCTTTCAACACTCCTAAGATCCCCCAGCGAGAAGAGCCAGTGACTGTGCTGCCTAAGAGATGCTGGGTGATGTAGCCCAAGAGAGTCATTTGTCTTAGTGTTATATACTAATATATACCATAAAATGCAAGGGGAATATTGAGATGGCTGGATTCCAGCCTGGCTCAGATTTTAACAGGCTACAAGACGGGGCTCTCATGCTACCTCTTTTGAGTTTGAAGCCAACTCACCCCTTCGCCCATCAATTGAGAGTAGCTTGCTGAGCGCAATCACACATTGAGAATGGCAGGTTCAGCCATCACTGGTTTTTGCATCTGCGCCTCTTACACCTGCACTTCTTTACAACAACATGGGGGCACATAAGCTGCCCAAGAAAGAATGGGGCAGCCTGAGGCTAAGGTTATGTTGTTACGAGCCATCATGTCACCTCTGACTTAGGTGACCCGTTGAATAAGCAGTCTCCAGAATGTCCTGTCTTCAACAGCCCTGCTCAGCTCCTGCGGACTCAAGCCTGTGGTTCCCTTTAGGGAGTCGGCCCATCTCGTATTTGCTCTTCCTCTTTTCCTGCTGCCTTCCACTTTTCCCAGCATTATTGTCTTGTCCACAAAATCCTGCTTTCTCATGGTGTGGCCAAAGTGGAGCTATGACATTTCAGTAGAAAGTGAGTAGAGAACCTCTACCCTGGGCCAAATCCAGTCCTTGGGATTTCTCTGTAAATCCGTGCCCTTTCCTCTGTGACACTCTCTTTTGGTGGTTTACAACCTTTTCTACGGGCTTTTATTTCCATTCCAAATGGCTGATGAAATGCCTTTTTTCAGGCTGAGTGATTGGCAGTAAAGCTTATTAGCTTCCGATGTGCTGCTATTTTTAGTCCCCTGTTGTGCCTGGAATCTGCCCCCCCCCAAAATCCTCTCTGAATTTGGTCGTCAGGCTGAAAGAGGTCCTCAACCATTGGTATTAAGGAGTTAATGCTCCCCATAGGAAAGATTCCCCCGCTCGTGGGAAGTTAGTACAAAGTGAAGACAACACAAATGAAAAATAACTTGCTCAGCAGATTAGGAAGGATGTGATGTCAGGGGTCTAAGCATTCTAAGCTATCATGTTTGCTCTGCAACAATTTACTAGTTTGTGGTTTCTGGAACATTCTGGGTAACTACAGTTGGGTCAAGCTACACATTACACACAAACAAATGTAACAATGTCTTAAGTTTGGGAAATTTCTGAAAAAGGAAGGGAGAGGCCTACAGTGATGGCAACTTGCTTACCCACCATAAAGCCCACATATCATTGGTGCTGAGACATACCCTGAGATGATTTTGTGTGGATGGCTGCTGTAGACCCATTGCAGATCTATTGAATGACCACATGGATTATGTAATTCAAAATATGCACTTTATTTTTTTAAGGAAAAGAGAATCAAACAAATCCACCATCAAGACTCTTCTAACTGCACAGCCTGGAAAAGTTACTTTTGGGGGCTACAGTTCCCAAAGCACCTGTTTCTTGTCGTCTAAAAAATGTTTTCCAAGCTTTGGTCAATCACTCTGGTATTGTTTTATGAAGAGGGAGAAATAATTATGCATATTGTACACTCCTTTCAACATTACCAACTGCGGTTGCTTCTACACATCTTCTGTATGATTCCCTTTCTCCTGTATAGGATTCTCTCTTTTCTTGAAATGGAAATGCAAAAAGTGCGAACTAAGAAGAGATCCTAAACCTCTCCGCGCAGGCAGCGCAGGAATCCTAGAGAATGTTCTGCATTCAAAGGTTCTGGAGCAACATTAGGGCTAGTACTCTGCTTTGAACGGGTAGTCCTTATGATTGATGCAGCTGCAAGGACAAGACATCGAGAGAATCCATTAGGGCCTTGAACGTTTTAGAGATGAAAAATGTTCAAATTAGCCTTAGCTATTTGAGCAAAATTTCTAAGGTGCTGCAGGTTAAAAGCTCAACAGAAGTGGAAGGAAGTCCAAAGACTGGATTACTTTTAAGTGTATTTGATTGGGGAAGTTTCTTTCCCCCCCAGTTAACTAAACATTTGGAATGCCCGTTTCTGATGGTAATTGATGAAACAGAGAATTTTTTAAAAAGTGACATGACCAGCTTAATACCTATTGCTTCTACTGAGGAACTGAGGCTTGTGCCCTTACCTCTCCCTCCCCGATTTTTATCTTCACACTTTTGTGATTACCCCAAAATCAAGCAGTTCGCTTCAAGGACAGTAATCTAGCCATTATCCATTAATAATTATGTCCTGTCAGATAGATTCCAACTAATGGCAACCCTTTCCAGGATTTTCCACGTGAAGAGCACTCACAAGTGGATTACCATTCCTTCCCTCTGGGGCATGTCTTGTGAGTGTGCAGCTACACAAGCCGCAGGTGACCCTACCACAAGCTGTGGGTTATTTTTTTCCACCATGGAAAGAGGAGAATATGGAAGTTTATTATCTTACTCTGCCATCACACAGTCCCTGCAGTTTCTGTTCAAGCCAAGGAGAGCGTCCATCTCTTCTTTACTCAGTTCGAAGTCGAAGACCTGTCAGAAGAAAAGCGAGATGAAAAATTAGAACTTCAACAGAACGGCTAAAATGGTGAAGTTAAAAAAAAAAATAGAAAAGGCCATATATTTCTGAATTCAGACATAAAATTTCTATACATTTGCCATTTCAAACAAACCTGAGCTTAAGAATCGAACAGCCATAGTGGCCATCTGAAATTCAGGAATTGGTAGGAGCTAACGAAAGCAACCTAGAGTATAATTACTGGGTGCCTGAATCCTTTGCCTTAGGGAAACAAAGGACACTATGGAAGGGCCCAAGGAACTAGGAGCGAGGAAAGCAGGCAGACGAGTACATGATCCATCTTCTGGGAAGCAGCTTTACACCCCACTGGACTGTTTGTCCATCTAGTTCACGACTGCCTGCACAGACCTGGGGTAGCTCTTTGAACAGTAATTTTTCCTAGAGATTGAGGAGCCTCGTGGCCTGGTGGTTAATCTGCAGTACTGCAGTCAAGACTCCGCTCGTGATCCGAGTTCAATCCTGGGCTCAGGTGGCTGCTCAGTCTTCCATCCCTCTGAGGTTGGTAAAGTGAGCACTCAGCCCATGGGGAGTATGTAGCCTGCATAATCAAATCATAAACCATCCAGAGAATGCTTTTAAGCACTGTGGGGCAGTATCTAAGCAGCAGACTTTGCTTTGGTTTTAGATGTGGATTGAAGGTGAAGTCGTCTACGTACAAGCCACATGCATTACCACTGAGCTGTGACTCTCCCTGAACATAAGCAGCAGACTTTGCTTTGGTTTTAGATGTGGATTGAAGGTGAAGTCGTCTACGTACAAGCCACATGCATTACCACTGAGCTGTGACTCTCCCTGAGCCTACTATTTGTGGGTTTTGACTAGCAGTCATAAGGCGGCTGTCTGTCGGCTAAGCGATTTTAAAAAGCCCAAAGGAACGTATTAATACGTGTTTAATACGTTCCTACGGGCTTAGAAACTAACCTTAAGCAAAATTCCTCCATAGAGGCAGCCATTTTGGGTGGCTCTAGAGCGAGGCAAAACAGTGGTGGCCATTTTGTTTTTGCAGCAGCCATTTTGGAACCACTGATCAGCTGTTAAAAAATGGGCGCTTTGCGGTGATCGCTTCCGTGCGATCATCGCAAAGCGATTTTTCCCCATAGGAAACATCGCAAAGCAATTGCAAAAACAGCGTCGCAAACCGATTTCGTCGCTCAACGGAGCAATCGGTTAGCGAGGCACCACTGTATTTGTGAAGATTCTACACTGTATATCTTGCATGTAGGTATGTATGGGCATCCATAGTGAGTGACTGGGTTCTGACTGGCAGTCATAAGGCAGCTGTCTGTCAGAAGAGACTGGATTAAAAGAGTTGGAGGAGGACGGAAGGTGTGTGAATGGAACTGTGTTCTGATTGGCTGACATGCACCATTGCTGTAGAAATGTGTACCCTGGGCAGAGGACGTTGTGGCGTGAGCCTCACTGCCCCATTATTCAGCCCCAGTGAGCATGCAGCAACAGTAACAGAAAATTGTATTAAATGATTAGCAGTGGATGGAGGGGGAGAGAAAGAGAGCGACAGAAAAAGAAAGATTCTTTTACCTTGAAATTCTCCTCCAAACGGTGTCGTTTGTCTGACTTGGGAATGACAGCCACATTTCTCTGGATGTGGAACCTAATCAGCACCTGTAGATGCAGATCAAGACTATTTTTAAGGCATATCTTTAAGTTGGATTAATGGTTTGCTTTCCCCCCGTTTCTCAAGAAATATGTGGCTCTTCCAGAGCCGCTCAAAAATTCTGCAACTTTTGTCTTTACTGTTCCTAGTGGATTGCAGAAAAGCATAAAGCTCGCTGGAGTTTGCATCTCCACTGCACGTGTAAAAGCCGCTTTTAGGAAAATCCTTGCTTTCCCAAGAACTTAATATATTTTAAATAATTAATATCTTTAAATAATCACTGCCCCATTATTCAGCCCCAGTGAGCATGCAGCAACAGTAACAGAAAATTGTATTAAATGATTAGCAGTGGATGGAGGGGGAGAGAAAGAGAGCGACAGAAAAAGAAAGATTCTTTTACCTTGAAATTCTCCTCCAAACGGTGTCGTTTGTCTGACTTGGGAATGACAGCCACATTTCTCTGGATGTGGAACCTAATCAGCACCTGTAGATGCAGATCAAGACTATTTTTAAGGCATATCTTTAAGTTGGATTAATGGTTTGCTTTCCCCCCGTTTCTCAAGAAATATGTGGCTCTTCCAGAGCCGCTTTTTTCAGCATCTGCGGAGGAAATTTTGGAGTGTCACCACCTCCTGGTTCCTTTCCATTGGAGATGCTGAGTGGCGTCGGTGGGACTCTTTGGTCAAGAGGTGGTGGGCTAAGGGTTCCTCCCACATGTGCCCTAAAACCCTGCTCCAGTTAGTAACCCTTGCAGCTATGTTTTCTCCTTCCTGGAACTAGTACTGCACACGTAGGCTGAGTCGTCCTGGCTTGAACATGACACCAGCAAGCGGAAACCCTTCCTTCATGCTGCTGCTCTTCTCCCGCCTCCTCAGCTGATCCAGCCACTCACCAGGCCCAGCTTGGTGGCTTTCTCCACCTCCTGGGCTGATCTCCCAGTCATGAGCAAGAGCACAGAGTTCTCTGCCCTGCCCTTTTTTCTGATTGGGAGATCAGCCAAGAGGGCGAGGCAGAGACTCCTGAGCTGTTGCCAGGACTGGGAGATCAGTTGAGGAGCTGCAGGAAGCTAGGACGCTGGGCCTGGGGAGTGGCTAAATCAGCCAGAGGAGTTGAAGGAGGGGAGCAGCAGCACCTGTGCGCTGCCTTTATAAACTGGGATGAACCAAGACAAACCCTTTCTAGTAAGGATTCAGGAGGGTTGGGTTCAAATTCCCGTTCAGCCTTGGAAACTCCCTGCAGGGGGTGGAATGGATAAAACTGCTCCTTGAATATTTCATCTTAGAAACCCTACTAGAGTTGCTGTAAGTCGCTTCAGACGTCACAGCACAGAACAACAGCAATCCATCTCTAAAATTTGCGAGTACGAATGCAGGAGCTGCTGCATGATTCACACAACTTGCACATGCTAAACCGGCAGACCTTACCCCAAAGTACAATGCAAAATCAAGCTTAAAATGCCAGCAGGAAATCATCCATGTGACGCAGGCTGCCTGTGGGGTTTCTCCTGCAGAATTATCCTCAAACAAAACATGCAATCTTCCCCCTTTCCTTATTTACTCTTTATTCTTCCTCCTCTTCCTGCCTCCTTTTTTCTCCAAATACCATATACTTTTCCGAGTATTTACCTGAGCAACGGTTTTGTGGTGCCGTGCAGCGATCTCTTTAATTTTGGGGTCTTCCAAAAGGACAGGGTCGCCTGGCTTAAGACTAAAAAAAGAAGATCAGACGGAATGTTAAGAATACAATTATATGTTTGTAATCATCATCACCGTCGTCTTGGGACTGCAGAGCTGGAAGGGACCCTATGGATCACTGAGTCCAGCCCTTGTCAAAAAGGTACAGGGGGGAATCGAACTCCCAACCCCCTAAATCGCTGAGCTGTCAGACCAAGAGTGTGGCTCAAGCCAGCCACTCTGCTCCTTTGTTGAGGTATCACATGGAGCAGAAAACGTGGACATCCTAATCTTCTGCACAGATACAAAAAGCAAGGGGGAATGCTGCCCAGTTAGGAACACTTGTGCATTTGCATGCACCAAAGCCCCGCCCAGCTCTGCTCAAGTGCGAGAAGTTGAACAGAACAGAACAGTGGCCATAGAAAGGGCTGTGAATTTAGAGAGAACTTAGAAACACTTTTTCAGGGCTATACCTCCCACGATACTTCAGCCAGCATAGCTAATAGCCATGCTGGCTGGAGGACGCTGGGAGCTCCAGCCAAGGAAGGAACGTTTCCGTTATAGACATCAATGCAGGTCTGCAGGTGAGTATTTGTTGCTGCGCCCTGCAAATGTCCATCCCTTCCCCCTCGCTGTAACTTCCCGTATCCCTGGAAAGTCTCTATTAGAGATTCTCCTGTTTATTAAGACCATTTCAACCGGGAAACTTCTTCTCTGCCATAATGCAGGCAGGGTTTGCCTCTAGAGGCGTGCTGGGAGGGGGAGGGGGGTGGAGAGATCAAGCTGTGCTGATGGTACTTGGACGGACGCCAGGTGTCCCCAATGCAGTGCCCTCCAGGTATTTTGCACTGCAGTCCTCACCAGCCCAGGTAGCACTGCCATGGGGCACAATTACGGGCATACTAGTCTAAAGAAAATCTGGGGAAAGGCAACTGTCTCATACACCCCTTGTACAACAGACACCTACAAAGCAGACACGAACATCTCGTTCCTTTAAAGGAAGTTCAAAGCAGTCTTACGAATGAGCGCCAAAAGGTCGGTAAGCAGTCACAGAGATCCCTTTAGACTGGCAATAGTGGATCAACTTCTCCTGGGTAAGATATGGGTGGCATTCAATCTGAAAGCACAAGCAAACCTGGGATTACTCAACTGGGGGGGGGAATCAAATGGATGAACGCACCTCCCACCCTGTGTAGGATATCAGCTATGCCCTGTTTCACACAAAAATCACATAAAATGTACACGCAGCAAGAGGTCAAGGCACTCTTTTTCAGTGATATCAGAGAGAACGTGCACATATGCGAAAACTCTTGCTTGCACAACTGCAAAATATAAAGCAATACAGTGGTGCCTCGCAAGACGAGCGCCCCGTTTAACGACGAAATCGCATTACGATGAAGTTTTTGCGATCGCAAAACAATGTTTCCTATGGGGGAATTTCGCTTTGCGATGATCGGTTCCCTGCTTCGGGAACCGATTCTCGCAAAACGACGATTTTTGGCCAGCTGATCGGCGGTTTCAAAATGGCCACTGGGTAAAAAAAATGGCTCCCCGCTCTTTTCTGGGACGGATTCCTCGCTGCACGGGCAGCAAAAATGGCCGTGCTATGGAGGATCTTCGCTGAATGGTGCGTTTCAAGCCCATAGGAATGCATTAATCGGGTTTTAATGCATTCCTATGGGCTTTTAAATTTCGCTTTACGATGTTTTCGTTCTACAGCGATTTCACTGGAACGAATTAACATCGTAATGCGAGGCACCACTGTACTACCTTTTTGCACAAGGATCGGATGGCACATTTACAGCTTTGTGAGTCATCAGCTTGCTTGCTTGAGCTTACTTGGTGTGGGTGTGGGTGTGGATGGGTGAGGCCAATGGGTTGCCTAATGCAAGCAAAAAGGCAGCACCCCCCCGCCTCTCTCCTGCTAAGGTTAGGAACAGGAAAAGGTGTTCTAGACCAGCTGCACAAACCACCACCTCTGCCCCTTAAATAGCACTGGCTGTCTTGCTCTCCTACAGGGGGGAAAGAACTCTCAAGACTCCTCAATAGACTCTGTTGGTATTTCAGAACAGACTGTCTCAAGTGACAACAAAGATATAGCAAAAGGTTCCTGCGAGACACCTTTTAAGTCCAGGGTATGGATACCCAGCCCACCTGCTCAAGTGCTGAAAGCAAGGCCGGCCAGCTCACCTGGTTATTCACTGGCTTGTACTTCAAGCCAGGTTTCTTCAAGAGCCTCTCCATCTGGTCATGGTTGAAGTTGGAGATGCCAATGGCTTTCACCATCCCGCAGTCCACCAGTTCCTCCATGGCCTGTGGGTGAAATACAAGGGTTCAAAACCTCATTTTGGGGGGCCAGCACAGTGTTGCAGTTGATGCGTTGGAATGGAACTTGAGAGATCTGGGTTCAAATCCCCAAATGAGCTATGAAGCTCTTTGGGTGACCTTGGGCCAGTCCTCTCTTTTCACACACAGCTTATTCCAGCACAAAGGGTGATTATGAATACATAAATTGAGTAATAGGAGAAAAGCTATATATGCCACCTAGAGTTCACTGGAAGAAAGGCAGGATATAAATGAAAATTGTAAAATAAATCACAATTTGCTTCTACAGTCTGAAAACAACATTTCATACCTTAGTGGTAAACAACAGAAAGGGTAAGAGTGGAAAGCACAATCTATTCTCCTATGCTGTGCTAAGTCCCAAAAAACTGGGATGATGGGAGTTGCAAGGGTTCAGGGGACTGGTAGTTCTCTGAGAGTCTCTCTTTAGATCCTAATTGGCAGTAAGAACACCTGCCCCATGAATCCTTGCAGCTCCCATGGAGCCTTGACCCTCTTAAGTACGTAGCCCCATGTCAGTTCCTTTCTTCTCGAAAGGTGAACAATGATGAAGGAGACTCACATGTAAGTAATAAAGCTGGTCCATGGAGGTTTGGTGTTTTGTGTGTGTGTGTGTGTGTGTGTGTGTGTGTTTGTTTTTGCCTGTATCTCCCAGAATTCTAGCTGGAGTAATTCTGGGAATTGCCGTCCAAAACATCTAAAACTTCCATCCCTACCATCTAGGATAAATGGTACAAATAAGACAGCTTTCTACGTTCTAATAGCAGAGCATGCTGTATGTGATGCATGTGCAAAAGGTTTTGGGCTCTGTTTCTGGGATGTCAGATTAAAAGCGATCTGATGCAACAGGGCTCAAGAGCTTTACCCCAAGATCTTGCTGAGGAATTAATGCATCAGACAGAACAGTGGAGGGGAATGTGTGGCCCTCTGAAAATACAATTCAATTACATCTGGAGGGCAACACATTTTCTGGCTCTGAGAAAGAGCATAACAGGAAACTATCTGTTCCTTCCCCAACTTTTCTGCTCAACTACAGGGCAAAATAGGACGACAGAGGATGAGGTGGTTGGACAGTGTCATTGAAGCTACCAACATGAATTTGACCAAACTCTGGGAGGCAGTGGAAGATAGGAGGGCCTGGCGTGCTCTGGCCCATAGGGTCACGAAGAGTCGGACCCGACTTAACGACTAAACAACAACACAGGGCAAAATGCAGAGCCTTATCTTGACCGCGAACACAAGCTGTACCTCCCAAGTGGTCAGAAAGTCTGTGTTGCTCGGGATGACCATGCCTTTCTCATCATGAGGGAAAAAATCCTCTCCAGGCTGCCAAAGGAAGAGAGAGGGGGATGATGTTGGAGATACAATCACAAAGCAAAACACATGAACATTGGGAGGGAAACTACATGAGTTGAGTCCCTTTGTTGGGAGAAAGGCAGGATATAAATAAACTGAATGAATGAATGAATGAATGAATGAATGAATGAAGTGAGGAAAGTACAATGGATTTGCAACATGGGTCAAAATTCCTCTTTCAGGTTGAATCAAACATTTGGTATTTTATTAGATGAAACACCAAAATAAAAAAAAATTAAGCCAACTCAGAAACTAATATGGTGCAGATCACTGTACAGAATCACAGAACTGTAGATCCTGAAGGACTTGGGTTTACTTTCCAGACTCTTTGCCAGAGTAAAGAGGAGGTGGGTCTAAGGAAGCTCCTTGGCCATTTTTACTTCCTCCTGGCACCACTTGTCTAGAAATATTCCCAGAAGTCTTCTTAAAACTGCCTATGATATCTAAATGGCCCTTAACTATTGAGATGTAACAGGAAGTGACAAACATAGAAGGTAAAGAAAGAATATACATTCTTTAATGCAACTTTTTTGAATTATTACACTCCTTATTTATCAGCATTGCTGGTTCATGGGAGCTGACAAAAAGATCAAGCCTACAAAGTTAGGATTCAAGTCTTTAAAATGTGCAGACAAGATGACATGTTTGCAAAAGCACTGATTTTTACATTTCAGGAAGGAAAGTAGCAGCTATGAGCAATGGCTTTAAACTAGTAAAAACATTTTGGAATGACTTCAGTAGTTGAGATCAGTATGGGGAAGAGGGTGACCTGATACTGGGCTTAATTACTGTTCTCACTGTTATTGTTCTTACTCTTCCCCATCACCATCCTCATTTCAGACTTCTCTGTTTTTTCCCCCTCCTATTTTTTGGCAACACACCCTGATGGGAATGCCTAGAAATGTAACTTTTTAGGCAGCTGGAGTGTTCCTAACAAAGGTATTGCCAAACTGTAGATTATGATTTCTCCTGACTTTAGCACAACAGTGTTCTGATACGCAGATATAGAAAAGAAATGAAAAATATGTAAACCCATGGAATTAAAAAAATAGAAGGTAAAGAATAAACATGAGTTACAGTTTTCAACTTGTCTATCTATAACAGTGAGGTGCCAACGCTTCCTCCGTCCTCCTGTTACACGGAAAGTCCATCAGTAAAGTGCGGAACAAGGGTAGGAAGGGTCTGGTACCTTGAATCCCATGGGGAAGTGCATGAGGTACAGATCCAAGTAGTTCAACTTCAGATCATCTAAAGAATCCTGGCACGATTTCTTTATAAGATGCTTCTCATGGAAAGTGCACCACAGCTGCCAAGGGAAAAAGCAATCCAGTAATTATGAACAACAAGGAGGGTGCTTTGCACACAACAAACAAGGTGGCGAGTGCTCCAATGTTGGAGGCATTCAAGAAAAAAACTAGACAACCACCTGGCAGATATCCTTTCATTTGTATTCCTGCATAGAGCAGGGGGTTGGACTTGATGGCCTTACAAGCCCCTTCAAACGTCACTATCCTATGATTCTATTCTTCTATGTTTTCCTCACTTTTCAATTTTTAAAAATGTTTTAATTAGAATTGTCCCTACATTGGCCCCTTCTCCTAGGAAGGGCGCTGTGGAGTCCAAGCTGGTGTAGAGCCCCTATCTAGAATACATCTTGAATAAGACCACCCTCCCTTTGGGCATCTTAACCAAACTGTCCAATAAACATGGACCATTTCAGCATTCTGTTTTAAATGCATGAATCTGGACCCCAAACTCCGACAAAGTATAGCTTGCCTAGTCTGTAAAGCATGGAGCTTTGAAAGGCTGCTAGCTCAACTTCCTTGCTGATTCAAGTTGATTGAACTTTTTTATTGCAGTAGCATCCTTACCATCTCCAAATGGTCCCGGAGTATAATAGTTTTCATTGTTTTGTGTTATTAGGTTTGTTTTTGTTTTATGTTTAAAACTTTTGTTAAAGTAGCATCCTTACCTTGCTCACGATGAAGAGCTCTTCCCTCTTCACAACTCCTTCTTTGATTTTCTCCTGAATCCCATTCCCAATCTCAGCCTCATTCCTATATAGGCGGGCGCAGTCGAAATGACGGTAGCCAAGGTCAATAGCGAATTTCACTGCATCGCTGACTTTTCCAGGAGGTGCCTGAGAGCCAGGAGCAACATTTTAATTATTTAACTGCAAACATCTGCACTGCCTCAATGCTTTCATTATTTAATTCATTAAATGGATTCATTAAACGTTGCAACTATTTCCAGACTTAACTTCTAAGAATTAACATAGTTCAAAAATTAGAAAAGTAAACACAAGTATTTAAAAAAAGAGAGAAAGAGGGCACTTCCTAAATTGCCAAATTAAAAAACAAACAAACAAACACCTTGGCAACATCTCAAACTGCAGTTGATAAAAGATGAGAAACCCAGAATATTTAGACAGTTCAATGGAGAATTCATTCATCAGAACGATATTAATCTACATCTGCATTTTACCAAAACAACACTGACAGTCTCATTAGCGAGTCTGTTAAGGGCAGATCCTTGTACATAGAATCACAGAACTATAGAGGGAGACTTAAAACCAAGAGATGGGTTATTGCTCAGAGAGAGAAGCAAACGTTTGCAGAAATAAAACAAAATATTCAAAAGATAAAAACTGGGGGTTTGATGCACTTTAGTAAGAACATGCAGGGGGGTGATCCTTGTCCACACAATAGACTGTTGGAAGGGAGGATGGGAAAACTGGAAGGAAACTGGGAATGCACAATTTGCAACCCTGTACTGGAAGAACTGTGACAGTGGTTGGACAATGTCATTGAAGCTACCAACATGAATTTGACCAAACTCTGGGAGGCAGTGGAGGATAGGAGGGACTGGCGTGCTCTGGTCCATGGGGTCACGAAGAGTCGGACTTAACGACTAAACAAACAAAAAAACCTGGAAGGACTGCATGCTGTCGCTTTTTATTGAAGTTCTCTATTAGTTTCCTGTTGCAAAAGACTTCAGAGTGAAGCTACTTCTGGGCAGACATGGTTGGGCAAAGGAACAATGCCAACAGTACTGAACTGAGGCATGTTACTGACCCACTCCCCCATGTGAATTACGGTAATACCTTTATTAGAATGCTTCAAGAAGGGACCTGTGTGCCTTTTGGGTTAGGCTGCTGGAAGGACTACCACAGTATTTTTTTTTATTTATTTATTTATTTATTTATTTATTTATTTATTTATTTATTTATTTATTTATTTATTTATTTATTTATTTATTTATTTATTTATTTATTTATTTATTTTATTTTAT